AACGCGAAATACTTAAACAATTAAATTTTCTATGACCCGATGTTTCGGGTGCTTTAAATCAGTTGTGGTAAAAGGGAGATTCGGTAATCACGGCTAAAACATGTTAGGCAATATTTTTCACGTTTTAAACTGTTAAACGCGTTTTATTTAAATTTAAGCGATTGTAGGACGCAGATGGGATTTAAATCCAATGGTTTCCAATGGTACTCTTATGTCATCACATCATCGATTATTCTATTATTGAATAACTCTTTTCTTATAAACATAATGAGATTTAAGATTGAAATATTTATTTACTTATAGTAATCTTTTTTTAGGGGTGAGATTTTCAGGTCTCTATTGAATCTTTAGCTTATATATGTATATAAAATTCTCGTGTCACAGTTTTCGTTGCCATACTCCTGCGAAACGGCTTTACCGATTTGGATGAAATTTTTTGTGCTTATCCGGTATCTATGAGAATCCGCCAACGTCTATTTTTCATCCCCCCATATGTTAGAGGTAGTCCACCCCTATTTTTTTTTTATATTTTAGACAAAATTTTTAATTTCTATTTTTTTATGATACAACATACAAAAGCCCGACAGACGTTTTAAACGCCGTATGTAACGTTTCAAACGTTTACCGGGTACAGCTGTACTGTAGAAACATTATTGGACCCGGCGTGGACCAAGTTAGATTCACCAACCAGCCCGTCAAAAACTCATCGTTTTGGCTTCGCTATCGTCAAGTATATTTCTGTCTGCATTTAGAAAGACCACTCTAAAAGGCATTTATCAATTCCCTTTAAACACCCAGACCTTAGTTATATTGAGAACATTTTAGGCTAACTAATTTGTCAGCTATTATCTACTTTAACTATTAAACCGCTCTTAGCTCACTAACTTCAGTAAAGGTAATTAACCAACGCGAAGTATGTACGAACTGGGTTCTATATTAATTCTGCATGAAGTTCCAAAAGTATATGGCGCACTTAACAGTTATACTAGCTGTATCAGCGACTTAGTCCGAGTAGATTAGTTATTTTGGGCAAATTTTTTGTTTTGCATTGCTTCAGCTTTATAAATTAAAGCTATTATCCACGATCTTCAAGTTAATCTTAAAAGATAGCCGTATAGTATTGCGGACATTTTTTGAGAACATGTAAAGAGGAATCATTATTTTATACATACTTTTAAATAAAACACTTTAACGGTTTAAAAAGCGATATATTAGTTAAACTTATTTGAAAATGATTTTTAACTTCGGCCCGACATTTCGTATGCTTTGCAGCAGCCGTGGTCACGGGGAGACAGATATCATTTTTAAATAAGTTTAACTAATATATCGCGTTTTAAACCGTTAAAGTGTTTTATTTAAATGTGTACTACTCGCGTAAACTATAGACAGTATTTATACATACTTATTTGGTATCTTGAACCGTTTTTGTAGCTTACGCCTCGGCAACCCATAATGATGAAGAACTTTCCCATTTTTTTCACATTTCTCACTATATCTTCGCGTGTCTTAGTCATAGAGCGATGTTTAATAGCCTTCCTCGATAAATGCTCTAACTAACACAAAAATATTTTTTTTACCTACTGGTTTTAATTGAACCTGGGAGCAGTGGGAAATGTGAAAAAAATCGGGGAAAATTATTCCTCATTGAAGGGCGCTACGATAACGGTAAAAGATACCAAAGAAATATGTACACAAAGAATTATTCTTCTTGTTGTCTGCGGCAGTTTATCTTTTAAGAGAAACTCTCAAGAACCGTGATTGGAACGTCACATCGCACAAATACTATATTTTTCTAAGTGTTTATGTTAAATATTTTAAAAATCGATTGAACATTAAAGATTGAAAATCATACATGCATCTGCAATTTACGCGAGTAGTACAAAATTTGAATTAAACACTTTTTAACGGTTTAAATCACAAGCTAGATGAGACAATTTTTTTTACTAAATATAAGCGTTTTAAGCAGTTTAAAGTGTTTCAATGAATAATGCGTCAGAACGTTCGTATTTCAGTGATGTACTGTTATACTCTGTGTAAGTTTTGGATGAGACCATCTAGATGTAGGGAAGTATGTTTGTACAAGGGGATATGTTGGTTTGCTATAAGAGTTAAAACTAAGTCTCCCTTTTACATCAATCAGTCAACATCCATTACAGTAATGACATTTTTCGAATATCTATAGACGCAGCAAAACAAACTAATAAAGATAATACATTTATTGACACAACGTAAAAGTAATAATAAAACACTTTTAACGGTTTACATCGTACAATCGTTTGTTATAAATAATATATGAAATAATTGTGTGAAATAAACTATTTTTGGCAATAAGACCGGTCTAATATTTTTTTAATGATCGGTTCTCTTATTGCTCAAATTAAACTTTTTTTTATGTAATTTTGCCAAATAACCAATATAACATCCATGTCTCTTGTTAATTTCACCTATGTAGTTCTTTGTAAATAAAGTGTTGTTTTATTTATCCATTTAGTTACTTTTATTTGGGTTGCAGTCCCAAGTAAAGTTCCCAGGATGTCTGCTAGCCGGGCACATATTTCGACAGATCCTTTGATCGTCCCGCCAATTAAAATGCCTAAACCCAACCAATCCGAACTCTCGAACTCTTTATATCATCTAGCAACACTGTAGTTTTATATGATGCCTTCATTTTTAAACACAAGACTAAACTTATTATTAGTAATAATGTAATGTCTGCGTATTTTTTATTGTCTGTAGTTTACGCGAGTCGTACACATTTTAATTAAGTGGATTTAACGGTTTAAAACCTGGAATATTCACCGTGCCCCCCCCCCCCATGGAAACGACTGATAAAAAGCATCCGAAACGTAGGGAGGCCCGAATTAAAAATAAGTTCAAAAAGTTATTAAATTTAAAAGTGTATTAAATTATAAATAAATTTTATTTAAATTTAGCCATTGCTACCATTAAAGCAAAGAGCCTGTACTATTACATATGTACATTAAATATAGATCTGATTGATGGAACATAAGACGTGTATCAAAATAAAAAACGAAAATAATAGACGTAAGTTTTATTTTGCCCCATTTTTTCTCTTTGTTAAAATTCCCCAAAGCCCAATTAATTTAGCGAGATCACTCGATTCGTCGCTAAAATTTTGGAATGCGGTTCGTTTAGACCTGGGAACGCCCCGCGTTTCCCATCCGATAGGTATTTCGAGTTTTAGTTTATTTTCAGTGTAAAGCTTTTCAATATACAAAAAGTAGCATACCTTGAACGACCTTAGAATTTTTGTACAGTAGTTATGTAACTACGATAAATAATTGTTTAAGTTTGTATTGAAAACTTTAATATTTTTTTCAGTTTGTATTATACAAATTAACACACGAACAGTAGTTGCGGTAGAGCAACAACCAGTTCTAAAATTTTATGAACCTTTGAAAACATTAATATTTTTCACATGTTACTGCACATGAAGGAACTATAAAATTTATTTTCGATTTTTAAATTTTATGAACCTTGTTTTGTTCACAATAATTTAAAAAAATCGCAAAATTTGTTCAAATTGAAATTCGATAAAAACCGAAAGCCTTGTAATTTCAAATTTTTCGTTTCTGCGAATATCCCAAATTTTTAAAGTCAAAAAAGAAATTTTCCCAATTGATTTTCTACGTCTAAACCATAATTATCATCTCAACGATTGTATCAAGTTCAAATTATACCTTTGCAGTGACGTGTGTAGTTAAAATTCTTAAAAGTTATAGTAAATAAGTATACCTTTTACACGTGAAAGATATTAAAGTTTTCAAACACCAACATATTTGTGAATGATTTTGTTTTTTCTAATTAATATGTTTATCTACTGTAATTTCTGAAAATATTTCCCTTAAGGGTTTAAGAACTAACGTCCATACATAAAAAACTGTGAAGTGTAAATTCGCGTTTTAGTTTCAGTCATTTGATTTCCGTCGTTCCGTCGAAAATAGATCGCCAGCACATTGTAATAAGACATAATTGGGTTAAGGCATTTTATCTTCCTTTACCAACCAAGTTCTTTTTTCAAAGAAAAATAAACTTACGACCTTGTTCCCGTAACTTTTATTATCGTAAAAATGAAATCCTTGTAAATTAATCGAGCAAAAGTTACGTTTCACATTTGTGCCGTCATGATTTTAACGCAATTGAATAGCATAACAAATTCCCTATTTAGATAATATATTTTATTGAGTGAAATCTCGCTTCCGACCATGGGTCATGGGACAAACACATTTCTGTGTCCGTTTCACTAATCGGTTTTCTTAACAAGTGTATGCACAACCGAAACCATCAGTTCCATCCCCGGAATTCGAACCTCTTGCGCCTAACGCCTTATCAAGCAACAAGTGTAACCATTTAGGAATATTTTATACAAAAAATACTGTCAGTAGTTTACGTGCGTAGTACACGTTTAAATAAAATACTTTAAAGGTTTAAAACGCGGTATATATTACTGTCTCGCCGTGACCAAGGCTGCAAAACATCTGAATTGTCGGGGCGTAGTAAAAATAATTTACAAATAAGTAAAAAGCCATGTCTAGTTCGAATAAAGGGAAATATTGTCATTGAACTAAAACAACGATAAGTAATATGAAGAATTTAAAAATCGAAAATAAATTGAAAAAAAATTCGACTCGGGCAGGACTTGAACCGGCATCGTCAGCGTTCCGTGCAGTTGTAGAGCGAACATTTTTTCAATTTATTTTCGATTTTTAAATTATATAGTGCTTTCATGTGCAATAACATGTAAAAAATAATAAAGTTTTCAAATATGAAGAATGTTTAATTTACGAACAGTAGTTACAGTACCTAGTTATAATAATAAAATACAATAACCAACAAAGGCGTATAAAGTTATAAGCGGCGAGAAAAAGCACTTTCTTATTAAAAAGTACCCTAAAAAAGATCTTATATTTTACTAACTTATGTGTGTTTAAGCTTAAGCACAATTTAACTTATCTTATAATTATACAAATAAAAAAGTCTTATCGTCGAAACATACAATATAGTATGAATATGAAGAAGCCACATATAAGAAGAATTAGGGCCAGCACCTGAAATTAAATATACATATTAGTTATACAAAAAAATATAAATATGTATAAATAAGGTTCCATCCAACTGCCCAGTAGATCACGCGGTCCCGGAATCGATTCCGATGTCTTTAAATTTATTCTAAAATATCTAGTACTAGCCCGAAATTTGGAAGAAGATGTGTGAAGTGACATCACACCCATGCCATGAAGAATACGTTAAGCAGTCGGTCCCGGTATCACTTAAATTAGTGAATTTATCAACTTGCAAGAGAAGCATGGTGGGTCAAAGCTCGCAAGCTCCGACCCCACCTGTGGGTTACCCACCCACCGCCACCCATTATGAGGTTGAGAGAGAATCCATGCAAACAGTTTTTTTATATGTGAACTAAGACTCCGCTATCCATTTGTCTCATCGCCATAGCGGATTGACAAGATACATAAATAATACATATTTAAAAAAAAGTACTTTTAGTCTTTTACCTTATTCTGCCACTGTCTGTTCTTTACGCACTGGCTGTACGGCATCGTGCTGAATGTGACCGAATTATAGAGGGGCACCCAGATATCCGGTAGGAGCCAAAATATCATATCATCCACAGCTTTCCGAAGGCGGTAGGAGGGTCTCGTTACTAGATCACGCATCTAAATAGGGATACAAGAAAATTTGTAAATTTAAATATCTTAAGCGAGATTTTGATCAAATGTAAATAAGTTGATTTGTCGTATTCTTTAAGAAATTCATAAACTACTGTAATCTAAGTCTGCATCACTGAAAATCGGCGTTGTGACAACTTCCAGGTACAAAAAAAGCTGAGTGGTATCCCCCATATACATCTATTATTTATGTCATTGTATTTTTGTGTATTATTCTTTGTATTGTGTGTATGTGTGGATTAAATAATTCGATTTGATTAATTAACAAAACGTTTAAGTCAACGCATTATGCTAAGAAGAAGAGGTCCTGGATTCACAGCAAGAAGAAACGATAAGGATAAACGATAATTTAAGTCGAGCAGAGTATAATTCTGTCCATTTGCTTACTTGTAAATAAAATCGATCAGTGCAACGGATAGACGAGTTTCCACTTGACGCCGTTCACGTCAAACTATTGCCATAGACCACATCCAAAAAGAAATTTGTTCGTCTTTTATTGGGATCCAGAAGGTTCTACTAACAACTATAACATATATACTATGTCTAATCTACTTTACCTCAATGTAATTATACATGGCTAGATCGCAAACAGCAAAAGCGTCCTTCCATCTCATATTGGAAAAATCTGATAAGATTTCTGCCAAGCTATCGTTATGTTTCTGGAATAGCTGATCCAAGATCGTACAGTCTTCGAACCCAGCGTTCATCCCTTGGCCGTAGAACGGGACGACTGCATGAGACGCGTCACCAATGATAAGTGCCTTATTCGACACGTGGTAAGGACGGCACTAAAAAGAAATGTCAAAGATCCAAATAAAACACATTAACGGATTAAACGCGATATATATTAGTTAAACTTAATTGAAAATTATCAATTTTGCAAGAACTCGTCCAGTTTCGCCAAATACTTAGACAGAACAGATGGCTCTAGCTTTTAATTTGACGTCAGAGACATCCTCTATCTTTAGTCTCGCCGTGACCACGGCTGCTGCAAAACATCCGAAACGTCGGGCCGTAGTGAAAAATAATTTTCTAATAATGTTACATTACGATGTTAATGTTATATTACGATATATATCGCGTTTTAAACCATTAAAGCGTTTTATTCAAATGAGTACCCACTACTCGCGCCAACTATAGACTTGGTTTTTACGTTAGCTTGAAATTATAAAAACAAAAATCTTAATTGTCATCAAAATCTCTGGCGGTATGGTGAAACATATTGTATCATCTTAAACGCGAGAGGTTCTCTAAAACATAGCATTGTTCTTGATCTCGCAAAGAGCAGAACTCCAATTAACTCGATCAATTGAACAATAAACTATGTAGAAATTAATTTTCCAAAAGGAAGACTGTTCTTTCTGTACAGGCTTCAGTACTCAAAGAGTAAATACAGAACCCCACTACTGCTAGAGAGTGTCACTGTCTCATGCAACGCGATATCAAGAAAATTAAAATTCTTTATATTTTGCAGATTACAAATATAAACACGTTGAAAAGTATCTCTTATACAATAAAGGCAATTTGTAGCCAATATCGCTCTATCAATAAACTCTAACAAGTGGCTATGGTAAATAACTAAAATATAAAATATGTGTAGATAATGTTGTATATCTAGACAATCATTTGAAACAATTTATATGCCAATTCGAATGGCAGTCAACTATTTTGTTTGCTAAAACCAAAGTAATACCTTAATGGTTATCAGCGGAGAAGGAGATCCAGTAAAGAAGTCCTCAATCAATTTCTTTTCGCCTATCAAAGGCACAGCGTCAGGGAAGTACTTATCAAAGAATTCAAGAAGCTTGTTCTCAGAGTCGATGCTTTTGAAGTTTGAGAACGGCATAAACAGCGTCACTGTCCACGAACAGTCTTGGTTCGGTAGAGCTATCATCATGAAATTACCACGGGGCCAAATATGGAGATAATTCGGCGGCATCTGAAACTGAAAAAAAGATAGGTACTAAAATAATTATCAATGACACAGATTTGGTTTAAACCTACGACTGACACCGAATCCCATCAGTCTTCATCGAAATGAATAATTATTTTAAACAGAGATTCCTGACTATTACTTTTTTCACGTTTTAAACTGTTTAAAATAATGTGTACCTCTCGCATTAACTACAGATGTTTTATTTACGTGGAACCATACTAATTATTGTACTCATAATAATTGTACCACTATGCTTCCAACATCAATTTTTATTATGACATCGTGTCAAAGATAATATTATATTCTATATAATTATGAACTTTCCCCTTCTGAGGGTATGTAAACCCGCGCCCATTATTCAAAAAGCAGTTGAATACATACAACTACTATGAAGGTATTTTATCGAGTTATTTACTTAATTATAATCATATTTATAAATACAAGTTATTCCCAATTTTTGGAAGAGCAATATAATTACAAATTATCTCAATGTGTGAACCGAGTGATAAACAATTTTCGTAACGGGTCGAGTGTTACAATTGTGACTCCTAATTCACAATATAAGAAATTTGTTCAACTTAACAGTGATTCTCATGTATATGTTGTCAGGAACTATGAGCCTAACAACTGGCTTGTAAATACAGATATGTATGTCATATATTTGAAGAAAATTGATCCAATAGTATGGAATATCAGATTTGATGAATTGTGGAACCCGAGCGCTAAATTTGTGTTCGTCATAACTCAAGAACTGAAGGAAAATGATATGAAAAAAATGTTTGATGACTTCCTGAAATATAATGTGTTTAGTGTACATGTGATAGTAAGTGTTAATCGGTCTGTTAATGCGTTTACGTACTTCCCGTTAAAAGATCAAAACTGTGGTAAAAAGTATACAAGAATAAACCAACTGGAGTGTGGTGATTCTAGGCATTTCCTCAAAAACACCGCTAGTTATAAAGGTTGTACCGTAAACGTAATTGCTAAAAGATACAAAGAATATATTGGAAACTACTTTTTAAATTTAGAACAGTATGTTTTAAACTTGACAGCGAAGGCCAACAACGTCACTTTGAATTATCGATTCGTCAATTCGAACTCTGAGACTGGTATAGTCCTCTCAAATTTTACATCAACGGGAATGCTCAGTTATCTGCAGAGCAAGGAAGCTGACATCATTTTCGGAGGCTTCTATATGGAGAAGAATAGAATTTCTATAAACGATTATATATATGGATATAACTTCGCTAAAATAAAACTGCTCCTGCCTTGTACGAAACAACACTTATGGAAAATCATACTTAATGCGTTCAACACTTCGACTTGGTTAATCATAATACATTCATATATCTTTATGAACATCGTCACATTCCTGGTAAATCAGTATATTGTCAAAATCAAAAATCATAATAGTATACCATCTAAACTGTTGGATTACTTTTTTGGACACGGCAATAAACATCTGATCAAAGTCAAGCAATACAGAATACTTTTAATAATTTGGATCTGGTACACGTTTTGCATAGCGAATTTTTATAACAGTGGATTGTTTAGTCTACTGACAAGTATCAAACACAGAACTAGATTGAATATTCATAATCTATCTGATTTGGGTAAGGCAGGATTCAAACCGTGTCTAACGAATAGTATAAGAAGAAGCTTTACGATTGCCTTCAACAAAACGCTTCCGGGAGAAATGATTCCTCAATGTCAGGACACGAAAAGCGTTTTAAAAACAATGATGACGAGTGAACATTATTATACAATGGTAACAGACTATGACTACTATCTTTTCTATCAAAATCACTCGTACAACAACGAAAAGATTATCCACGCTTGGGATTTCTCAACGAACATAATTTATATATTTTACACGAATCGTGGTTTTTTTCTCAAAAATGTAATTCACAATGATATGATGCGTCTGTTTGAATCCGGGCTTTTGCAGCACCACTTTCATATGTACTTGGCAAAGTATAGAATTAAGCCGATAAGATTCCATCGTTCCACGGAAAGGTTCTTTAAAGTTTTGCGGTTAGTGGACGTAAGGATAGCTTTTATTATCCTGGTATTTGGTATTGTCTTATCATTTATCGTTTTTCTTATAGAATATATAAAAACAAATAAGTAATAAGTAGTTATAATAAGTTTTAATTACAGTACAATACTCCATATCTCTCATTTCTATCGACTTTTTGTTTGTTGTTTGATTCAAATCACTACAGAAATTGTTCCATACGTTGCTTCTTTTGCCATATTTTCCAACCACTTCATTACGTGATCTTATCGTATGTTTGGAAATTCTATTTGAATTCGAGGAAACACGAACCATATTATATTTGATTTTTTCGTTAAATTTGGCGCGTAACGTAGCAACTATGAAGTCGCTAGTTCGAACTACTATCATTATTTTATTCATTATAAAAAATGTTATCCTAACTCAGTCATCACGGGACAGCATAACGACCATATTTCCAAAAGCGAAAACGATGTTAGACAATTCGTTCGAAGAATGTCTGCAAAAATTGGTTAATAATTTTAAGTGTGGATTGCATATAACCGTTGTAGTACCAGATTTATATTACAAGAATTTCATACGATTGAACAGCAGCTGCCACAGCTATACTCTACGGAATTATGAACCCCACACTTGGTATGTGCATACTGATATCTATATAATTTATTATAAAGAAGTAACAACTGGCCTGACAGCATGGAAAATAAAATACGACACCTTCTGGAATCCGAGAGCGAAGCACATTATTGTCATCTCATATGAAACAAGTGATGCCAAAAAAACAGACATATTCCGAAAGCTTGTGAAATATAAAGTCTATGATGCTATCGTTATCACACAAGAAAATGGTACCCTAGTTACGTTAACATACTACCCTCTGGATTTTGGCAACTGTGGAAAGAAATATAAACGAATAGAAAAGTTAGAAGCCTGCACTGATAATAATCAGTTTTATCCAATTTCTGATTTTAAAGAATGCTCCATTACCGCTGTCGGAAGCGAGTACTCATTGAACTACTCCTTCGTAAATCATATCACCCAATACGAACAGCTCGTCCTTAATCTGAGTTCAGAAGCGATAGGGATTCATTTAAACTACGAGTTTGTTGATATAGATTTAAATTCTGGCGACACATTTCCCAATCACACGTCCGTAGGCATGCTAAGATATTTACAGAAACGCAAATCCGATATTGTTTATGGTGGATTGTACCTATCCAAAAATAGAATACAAAGTTTTGACTATGTGCACGGCTACAAATATTCAGTGATGAAAGTCATCTTACCTAAAATATCTCCTAAATTGTGGAAAATCTTCTATAAGCCATATGAACTGAACCTTTGGTTGTTGAACGGTTTTATTTATATCCTTTTATCTTGCATCATCATGATCGTTGCTCGCAAGTGCTTTTATATTAGGAATATCAGTGCGTTGCCTTTAAAGTTATTGGACTACTATTTCGGTCATTCGGATAGGGGGATTTTCAAACTTCGGCCATTGCGTATACTGCTAATATTCTGGATTTTGTACACATTTTGCATAGCAAACTTTTATACTAGTACGCTATTGAGTATAATCTATTGCATAAGATACCCTAATTTTGCGAGTAACAATTTATCCGAATTAAAAGAGGCGGGTTTCAAACCGTGTATATCTGATTCGACGAATTATTATTTTCGGTTCACCTATAACGTGACTTTGAACGATGGACAGAGGCCAGAATGTCGGCACACAGAAGACGCATTGAAGACAACTATGAAGAATTATCCAACTTATTTCACAGTAACTGGTTTTGCGTCTTATGGCTTAACTCTGTTTTCCAACCACAAATATGCTGAAGTGGAATATCCGAGTAAAATTATTTACGCGCTTTATGCCAATAAGGGCTTTTTATTTTTTAAACAATTTCAGAACATTTCAATCCGTATTTTCGAATCTGGTCTGATGAATAGGCACATGCATTTGTTTGAGCTACAAAAAAGCAAAATGATACAACATGAAAAACAGAAGCAATCCAGAATTCTTTCTAAAGAAGATCTTGCCATCACATTTATTATTCTCATGGTAGGATATGCAATATCCTTTTTGGTTTTTATTATTGAGATTATTTGGCAGAAGTTTAATAGGAAGTCTTCAAGGAATTAAATTTTTATAAATAACAATAAACTATAAGTTCATCCAACTGACTATAATCTATAATAGATAGATATAATAATAATCTATAATAGACTATAATCCAAAGAAATATCTGCATAGATAAAAGTGTTTAAATAAAAGACTTTAACGGTATAAAATGCGATATATATTAAACTTATTTGAAAATTATATTTACTACCGCCCGACGTTTTGGATGCTTTGCAGCAGCCATGAGGAACTCATGGGGAGGCTAAAAATGCTAGCTGTGCAATACATATTAATTAGCTGCTACGCTAGCATTTTAACAAATATATCTCGCGTTTTAAACCGTGAAAGTGTTTTATTTAAATATGTATTACTCGCGTAAACTACGGACAGTATTTAGATATTGGTGTGACGATGAAGAACTTTCACGTCACAAGTTTGTTTTATGCGCAATATTTTCTTTCATCTAAAATTTCCTGAGTTATTCAGGGTTTCAATTACTTACTCCGCCATCTTTGCCTGGTGGTATACACAGCTCCATATATCCATGTTCTATGTACTGCTGACTGAAATCAAACAATGGCTGCTTCAACATCGCTCGTCGGACAGTTGAAAATGCTCCGTCAGCACCAATTATCAAATCGGCTTTCACAGACACTCTATCCTTCGTGTCTGTCCTGAAAATGAATAGCATTGTCACAGATTCATGCTATTATATTAGATAAAGCTATTCTGTCTCTTCCTATGACTAAATAATTTAAACCCCATGTTTATCTGTCCTTTTTTATCATGAAAATTAATATAAAAAATATACATATATGTATTTTAACAGCAGGTTTTTAGGAACTTTAAATAAGACAAATTAAAACGGTTTGAAACGTATAAATTTAAGTTTATGTATTATAACTAAGGCTCTACATTTTGATGTAGTACTTAAATATTGCCTATATGTAATTTTAACCCGTTTTATATAGTTCTATTTACTACTATTGAAACGAAAAGTACTTACTGCATAAACGTAAGTTCACCGTTTGGTAAATTTGTATCAATAAGTTTGTGATTGAAGTGTCTCTGCACGTTCTTGTAATTCTCCGACTCTGCAAAATCCATCTTTAATCTTTATCACTGTGTTTGACTATAAAATTACTGCGAAATTTTTAGTAGTTATTGTCAATGTACCTTTAAGAAGCACGCTGTTCAAATAATTTCTTCCCACCGAATAAATGCACTGGAATTGTAATTATTTTTTTATTTCATTTAGTTAAAATATGTGAAAATATAAAAATCTCCATGCTAAACTTTTACGAGGGTATTTTTCTTTTCATCGAAAACTTCTCCCTTTTAGTTTACAAGGTAATCCTTAAATTTAGTACATATAATAATCTACATGTAGAGGACATGTAGATTATATGTATAAATGTTTATGCCTAATCTACAAAAAAGTCTTTACTACCATTTTTTTAGTTTTAGATAGTTTATGCTTCTGCAATAAACAAACTAAATAATATCTTTAAAAAAAATGAAAAATCTATTCTAATTGGGATTGGTAATAGAAGGGCAAAAGTTTGTATTTTTGTATGTAAAAAAGCATTGTTAGGGCGGGGGCTCGTCCATTACGGTATGAAATATTTAGAATATACAACTGATTCTCAGACCTACCTACTGAAAATGCCTACGAAAAATTTCACGAAAATCGGTCCAGCCGTTTCGAAAGGTTTAGCAACTAACATTCTGACTAAAAAGAATAATATATATATACCTGATTGGTTCTAGCGTCGTAAGGTATTGAGTATGTTGTTCCGTCAGGTCTGTGTATCATTCGAGACCTCATTGGAATACCATGCTCCTTAACCATGATGTCTTCTAAGCCGATATCTCTGAGCGCCCTGCGCCCTCGCACAGATAATGCCAGGTTTATTGACCTACCTCTCACGTGTGGCGTCTTTCGTATATCTGTAAGATATGTATATGTCCATTGATTATTATACATATTTTTAACAGTAATAACAAAACTTTTGCAATAATAAAGTACATTTATATGTATCTATGATTAATTTTCCCGTGTCGTCACTAACACTTACAAATTTTGGGTACATTTCTGTTTAAATCTAATCTATGATTTTGTTTAAAAAATGCACTCGATTACATAACGATGTTCTATCACATTATTAACAGTCGAGAGAAGATATTAATATATTTTTCATTTAAATAAATCACTTTAACGGTTTAAAATGCAATATATTTTAGTAAACCTTTTATGAGAATTATTTTTAAATTTTAAGTATTAAATTTTAAAAGTCTCCCCGTGACCATGCCTTCTGCAAAGCATCTAAAACGTTGGGTCGCAGTTAAAAATAATTCTCAAAAAAGTTAAGTAGTTAAAAAAAAGTAAGTAAAAACTAAAATTATATGATTTAGTCCCCCAGTGACCACGGCTTTTGCGAAATTAAATAATAAGCTACCTGTTATATATCTCGTTTTAAACCGTTATAAGTGTAATTTAAAAGAAATACCACCTTGCTTCGATAAAAGTAGGCGAGACCGGGGCTGGTTGACTATAGGGGTAGGTAAAATAACTATCAAAAACTCGTTCGACGCAAAAGCTTTAAGCCAACCAATGAGGCATGAGAATTTGTCACCTTCCCCCGCACCTGCATCGGCAGTGCAGCGTAGCTCACGCTCTTCGTTGAAGAGTAGGAGTGTAATATTGAAAATTACCACACGTAAGTAATTATTTTTGTCGTCATGTTAATTGTAATAGTACCAATTTATTAATGATTATTGATTGTCAATGTATTTGTAACGAATGTTTGATTTATGTTCTTTATTTTATATTATATTCTACTTGTTTTCCTCGAAGTTTTAAGGTTATGACGCGTGGTTAAAAATTATAAGGTAGCTCGGGGCTGGTAGACTAATTATAGCGGCTGTTGACTATTAAAATTTTATAAAAAAAAATTGTATTTAGAACCTTCACAAGCTAATAAGAAAAAAGTACGACTATAAAGTCAGAGTAAAACATTTTGTTTGAAGTGCACTGAATCCTTCAGTTCGAGTATTTTATGAAAAGAATGGGTGCAGTGCATGGGTGCAAGTGGGCACACATAAAATGTGTAAATAGGAATATTGTTCTATAAATGCAAAAATTGCTTTCAATTTAGAAACTATTGATAGTATAATCTCCAAAGAATAATTTTATAATTAACATATTTAATAATTAAGTAAAAATACTTAGTTAAGACTGTTACCAAATAGTAAAAATAATTATAATAGTTAGATTGCATTATTTGTTACCGAATGAGTAAAGTTTATAAAAAGTTGTTTAGTTTTGTTTTAAATACTTATAAAAAAGTACGCTTGGTTTATTTTTAGGTAAACAAATTGCCTTATGTTGAAACATTTGATTGTTTATTCTTGTTTGATTTTTATTGTGTTTAATTGAAGCGGCCAAACATCGCCTATTGGTTTTAATAAATAAAAAATGTGTATTACACCGATGTTTTGTGTCTTTCTTCCTATTTTCTAGCAGATATTTGCCCTTACAAATTCATAGGTCAACTTACCCCAGACGAATAGTCAATCTAACCCGGGAATGGGGTAGGTTGACCAGTTTTTCTTATCACACAAAAACTGGCCTGTACTCATTATTAAGATGAATAACCGGCTTTGTGCTACTTCTTTTCAAAGCTTAATAGTGTATCTAATAATTGCACCCGTTTTTAAAATAATATAATTTATAGAAATAAAAATATAAACATTTAAGCAGAAAATTGGTCAACCAGCCCCGGTCTCCCCTATTTCAGAAAAAAATGGTAGTGAGGTTAGTGATTGGTTTTCTGTTTAACTACAATCCATTATGTTTTTGACCGTTTCAAATCACTTCTCTAAACTTATTACCTTTTAGATCTGAGCTACAGAATTGTACAAATGTGTAAGTTAAAGAAAATTTGTAAAATCCACTCAAATTACAGATATAAATTGATTTTTTATTGTACGATTTATCTTGTTTCCGTTGGAGTGCTATTATAGTATGTAATTAATGCCGCCGTAGCATACCACGAAAAAATAATATACACAGAAAAACCAGGGCACCTGTTTACTAAGTTGTCTGATAGGTTACAACTATGACGTCAATCGGATCACATTATAATCAATATACGATGCTTTAGTTCCGCACTTAAATAGCCAATCTAGAATAATAAAATAAAAATAGAATACACATATATAAAGTCGTGTTAGGTTATTAATGATTTAATATTATATCTTTCTCTTTACACTTTTGAATATATTTATTTAAAATACGACACGAGCAGACGCTTGCGAATACAGTTCGCCATGCTGTTGCAATGTGCGATTGATCCAGATTCTAAGAAATATTTAATTTATATAACATAAGGAAACAACAGTGGTGGGTTTAAGTGGTAACATCTCCGTTCCTATAAATATTTTACAAATTAGTGCGGTTGAAGAATGTAAAAATTTTGTGATTTATTAAATAGTATGACGATAAACCTATAATACCGTAATTTATTAACAAAATTATTAAACTTGGATATCAAGGAATATAATAATAAATAATAATTATTGTACTGTAGCCTTTCTACTTTTTAAAATGATTGGCAATTGTTTTTACGAAATATGTATCTACGAACTATTGTCCTAGTGGATTGTTTCAAAATTAAAATGTATTTCAATTCCTAAGAACGTCACATCCTGTAGAATTTTTAAGTATAGAATAAAAATAGACAGCAAAACCAGACAGCGATAAAAAAATTACATATACGTTTATTTTGGCGTCCGTCGGTCATGGATTAAAGTAACTAAACAATATCTATTACTATTTGTAAACATGTAACTAGTCTACACAATTAGATAAAAAAAGGTTATCAAAATGGCGTTTGTAGAACAATCGATGCTTCCTTTATTTAATTTCAACTTACTTAGTTTATCTTTATAATTTAGTGTTTTATGAATAAGCGTTCTTAGGCGTTAAGACATAGAAAAACACTCAAACGCAACATGCATTATCTATTATTTAAGAACTGGATGTTTGAAATTATTTAACATAATTAGGAGCTATAAAAACCGGAGTTGCTGAGCAATGAGATATAAATAAAATTATTTAAACCAGTATGGGTCGTGCAACTAAATGTTTCTTTACAAGCTAATCCCGCGGCGTTACTCGAACTTTTAGATGTAACACTGAAAGTATACGGACTCGCTACTTGAATGATGGCAATGTGTAAGATAAAAATCAATGGGTCGTAGATTTGATTCCCACCGAGTGCAACATGGTTCTAATCAATTTCTATTTTTTCTGGTACGTGGTGGAGTTCGACTGGAAATGTAGATATTAAATGGGTGGTGGTATCGAAATTCCATTCGGGCACGAGCCACTGTCCACAGATTAAATAGCCTTCAAGTTTTATCAATTTTTATTTATATCCAAAGCCAAAATAAGTTGACAGTGCATGTTGTTTAGATGTTAGATGAATGATTTACCGTCAAGTGAATCCTTGTCTATCCTCCTTTATGAGAAAGTACCACTAAAATTATATTAATTTCAGAGATTTTGTGAAGGAAGCTGTGTAAAAACTCAATTTCCCCTTTTCGAAAAATGCCTACTTCACTTTTCTTTGATACGGACATATTATCAAAGAACAAAAGCGAAGTATCTATAAGATTGTGTTCAAATTCGACCACCAAACGAAAACAAACGCTTCTTTGTATACATAATGCAATGTAAAATGTTCCAAAGTATAAAATGACATTAGAAGTCGCTGACCTTCTCGATATTCGTATAGTGTCACATTGTGGCCTCTTCTCGCCAGATAAAGAGCTTCCAACGACCCCACCTGAAATAAAAAAAAAACTATATCTAGGGTCGTGGCTTCCATCCCCACCGGGTCAATTGTTTCTAATTTTTTTTTTTTTTCTGAAACATGTGGACTACTGGACGTCTGGAAATCTGGATATTTAATGGGTGGTGAGAATTTAAAAAATTCCGTCCGGGCTACGAATCACCTTCCGCAGACGATAAAGATGAAGTTTTATTCCGTTTCGGATTTCAGAATATCCAAAGCCAAAATAGCTCGACAATGCATATTGTTTAGATGTTATATGGCTGGAGTATTTCGCCTCCTATCAAGTGACCCAATGCTGATCTGTTCTCCTCTATCATAAAAAAATAATGGAAATCTACCGCAGGACTTGAACCTGCAACCACAATGCAATCCCTGCAATCGCCACTTTTGAATTAACCACTTGAGTTGTATAAAACACTTTAACGGTTTAAAACGCGATATATTAGTTAACTTATTTGAAAATGATTTTTAACTTCGGCCCGACGTTTCGGATGCTGTGCAGCCTCCCCGTGACCACGGCTGCTGCAAACCGTTAAAGTGTTTTATTTAAATGTGTACTACTCGCGTAAACTATAGACAGTATTCACTTGAGTTGTGTTTTTTTTTTATCTAAAATAGATTTATAGTCTCTATTTATAATCTGCAATATATATATATATATATATATATAATTCTAAGTTTAACGAGTAATTATTTTTCTGTAAGAAAGGATCATTTCTTGGCCCAATTTACTTTGCTGTATAGAGTAATCCTGTTTCCCCGCGTCGGGCTTGGGGCAAACTGATTTTTGTGTCCGCTTCAATGATCGATTTTTATTTACAGGCAGGTAGTTAATAAGACCCTACGATAGATATAGACAGTTTATTGCTTCCCCAGGATGCATATCTGGGGCCTCTTGCACTTAACGCCATGTTAGGCCATCCTTTTAACTACTTAACTAATGAGGCGAACTAAAGCTAGTTCTGGATTTATTTCAATAGCAAGGTTAAAGGAGAATACGCTGCAGCGTGGGTAACAACGTAGGGCGAGTCTAATAGCCAAATCACCAATTAGGGTACTACATCCAGGTTCTGATCAGGGTTAAATCGATTTCATTGATTAAACAAAGTACTATACGTTGGCTTTGACCTTTATCATTATATCATTAGTATCCCAGGTTGTCCATATAGCAGCTTTTAGTACATGAAATAATTTAAATAAAAAAATTTAATTGCGGCCCGACGTCGGCCCTAAAAAGTTTAACTAATATATATCGCGTTTTAAACCGTTAAAGTGTTTTATTTAAATGTTTACTACTCGCGTAAACTTTACAGACAGTACTTGCATTAGAGGATGTCAAAAATTACTGCCTCGTTAATATATTATAAGTACAAACACTACATCAGAACCACTTGCGCCGGAGCTACTAAGCGAAGATTTTACAGCAATTCACAATAGTAAAAAAAACCCTTTTAATAATGCGAAATTTATTAAGTTCCGCACCTAATCGTATTCGTGCCTGATGAATGGGTCGCAAGTTCGACTCCAGTTTGTTCAAAGATTGTTAATTATATATGTATGAATAAATATTTTACTATTTTAAAACTGTTCAAATTTCTAATTCCCGATAACTAAGTCAGTAGAATAAAAAAAAGTAGGTGCATTAAAAATACGTTTCAATTTAAACCAACATATAAGAAAAATCACATACCAGTCCACCGCCAACGATACTTATGTTCAAGATTTTCTCGTGCGAATTTTCTAACGCCATTTTCCGTTCGAGAAAAATATCCCGATAAGTTGTTTATTGTACCTCGCTCAAGACAAAACTGATAACTGAACGCGATTCTCGTGGACACTCAGGTCACTAATTTATACATAATGATGTATAGCTACAGTATCAGAACGAGCTCGAAGCCTTAAAAACACAACACAATCCTCAGTCCCGTTACCCGAAATAACATAAATACTTGCCTTTTTGTGTTTCACGTACGTACGATAACTCTTCTTCTACAAAACCCAATAAATGAGAATTTAAAACACCAATTAAAACAACTTTAACGGTTTAAAACAGAACATGCATTAGTTCGTTTTAAACTAAGACGCGACGTTTTAGAATTACAGCAGCCACAATCAATTTAACACGTTTAAAACCGTTTTATTTAATATCTAACCAAATTGAATGTATGGAAGGTTTAATATTTCTTAAAGTGTTGTCCCTTGAAAGAATAAAATTCAGTATTTCAATAAAATACTTAAGGAGGAGACAAGTGACCACATGACTACGGCTGCGGGCAAAGCATCCGAAACGTCGGGCCGTAGTTAAAATAATTTTAACTAATATATTTTAAAATATAATTATTAATATACACGTTTTGAACCGTTAAATTGTTTTATTTAAATGTATACCAGTCGCGTAAACTACAGACAAGATTCAGTATTACAGGAAAACTTAAGTGGTCATGCGCATAATTTTGTCGCGCCATATACTGGCATATCCTGGCAGTCACGTGTCGCCATGTTATATAAAGAACAACAATAACAAACAATACCGACCAACTGTCTGATCCTTATGTTTGTTTAATCCTCTCTCGTTCCTTCAATTATTTATGAATGGTTAAAGAACGAAAATTATTTTTGACTAATTGCGTTTGCGACTTCGTCCGCGTATAATATTATATTTTTATATATTCATATATGTGTAAGGCTTTCACTGCCATCGTTCATAATATCATGCGGGCTGTTCGGGTGGATCGAAAGTTTTGCTTTTTGCAAAGGCCTTGTCTTCATCAATAAATCCCTCAAGTGCTCGAAGAATTAGCCTTTCAAATCGGCCATCAGTCCGAAAGAATATCATTGCTTCTTTCGGTCTGTTAGGCCGAAACTGTGACGCGAGACGACGTTCTTCAAGTTAATCTAAAAGTTGCTCGCACATCAGGTCGTAGTGTCGCGAACGTTTTTTTTTAGATAATTTAAAGAGGAATCATTTTATCATACATATTTTTAGGGTATCTTAAGCGCTCCAATATTTATCACAGCGCGATGTTTTTTAGTCTCTAGCCTTCCCCGATAAATGCTCTAACCACCACATAAAGAATTTTTTATTCGAACCAGTAGTTCTTGAGATTACCGCGTTCAAACAAACAACCCCATTTTATGGAACTGGACAAAAGTGCACGCTGACTCAGGCCGTAGTTGAAAATAATTTGCTAAATAAGTCTACCTAAATATTTCAAGTTCTACCGTCTTTTATTAAAATGTGTACCTACTCGCGTAAACTGCAGACAGTATTTTAAGCATATTACGAAACAATTTTTATTCTTCACGGTTCACGCATGATAGGGAACCTTCGCGATCAACATTAGAAGTACCAGTTGGATATAACAGCGTGAGTTACACAATTATTACGCAATATTTGTTTGTTTTTTTTTTTTGAAAATTGTTCAAAACATATACAGCTATCGTTTGGCGTTCTAAGGCATATGTATAAATATTATTATGTATACAATAAGACTGAAGAAAACATAGCCATATTTGCGCTTGAAATAATTTCACAATGTTCGTAATTATTGGGACGTTCAAAAACTTTTTTATCGTGAGGAAAATTACTTAGTCTATAATTCAACAGTGAAGTTTTTGAGGTAATCATTCCACAGTTAGGATTCGGTGTACCTGCATCTCCTGTACCGATCCATTATGCTGGCCAAACGTGCATTGGTAGACGTAGATCTTTATAAACTTAAGCTGTTACCCGCGACGTCGGCCGCGTCCCTTCCCGTCGGTTTTGCAAGTTAATCTAAAAAGATAGACATATAGTGTTGCTGACTTTTTTTAGAAAATTTAAAGATGAATCGTTCGTTCGTACATATTTTTTGGGTATCTTGTACAGTTTTTGCAGCGTACGCCTCGGAAACCCATAATGATGAATAATTTTCCCATTTTTTTTATATTTCTCGCTGTATAGTCGACTGTATTTGTCACAGGACTATGTGTTATAGTTCTAACCAACACAAAAAAAAAACATTCGAACCCGTAGTTCCTGAGACTAGCGCGTTCTTACATACAAACAAACAAACTCTTCAGCTATATATTAGTATAGTACATAAGCACAACTCATCTGAATTTTCCCTCATTCGCACAACTTCGTTCTTGGCTTGATTCCCACCGGGTCCATGCTTCTTATAAATTTTTTTCAGTTTCTGAAACGTCAACGTCGACTTTATCTGGAACGTTTGGATATTAAGAATTGACTAAGAATTCGAAATGCCGTCCGGGTTACAGACTACCGTCCACACATGCCATGGTGGCAGAAAAAAACCTTAAAATGTAAAAAATTTCCGCTTCAGTCTCCGGTTACCTAAAGCCAAAATGGGTCGATAGGCAATATTGTTTAAGTGTTATAGGGCTGTGATATTTTTATTTACTATATAACAAAAGTGCTCCATACTTCTTATTGCTTTCAGTTACCTATAAACCGTATTTAATACACAAGGCTTGATGTTAACGTGATTATAGTGGAAAAATAGGACAAAGGTAATGCGAGCGGTCAGCTATTTGATCTTAGTCGTCTCAAGTTGCGTATAATCGGCTTGAAGAACCGCAACCTAATTATTATTCGTCGCTCGTTAAACCTTGTCTAATATAGGATGGTAAGTTTATATAGGGACTAGCGGTGTCAGCGACTTCTTCCGCGTGAATAGTTTTTGGGCATGCAAATTTGGTTTTGCAAACCATCGGTCGCGTGCCGTCCTCGCGACCGGTCGTTCTTGCAAGTTAGTCTTAAAAGATAGGCATATAGCGTCGCAGACATTTTTTAGATCATTTAAAGAGGAATCATTCTTTCATACATATATTTTTGTACGTCTTGAACCGTTTTCCCAGCGTACGCATCAGAAACCCACAGAGATGAAAAATTTCTCCCATTTTGTTCACATTTCCAGCTGTATCTTCGCTTCTATTACTTAGTCACAGCGCGATTTTATAGCCTATAGCTTTTCTCGATAAACGCTCTCACACGAAAATAATATTTCAATTCGACTCAATTCGTACTTCCTGAGATTAGCTTCAGCTTTAAAAACATATTCATATAAACAGAGTATGTGATCTTTTAAATTATTCATCATTAATTATTTTATTGTAACATCAATTCCGCTTTGTATATTATGAATTGTTTATTTAAATAAAATATATTTAACGGTTTAAAACGCAATTATATATATTATATTAATTGCTTTTCGCACCGTTAGAAGTGATTTATTCAACTGTCTACTATTCGTGTATACCACAGACAAGTAGAATTATAGAAATTCCGTGCAGGTCACGAAGCCGTGAAGATTAATCGAGTACCGACTTTTTTGGTTTTATGTGTATTTCCAATACCCAAAGTCGGACAATTTGTTGAGGTGTCATGGAGGTTCACCTTACTTCTGTCCTTCTCTAGGATAAAAAAAATACAATGAATCTTGCATGACACTTAGTTTCTTCTATAAGTATTACACGAGGTATAGTCATAACTTCAGTTAAAAATTAAGGGGATTAGTAATTTACGAACAATTTCTAATAAAAATACATATAATAATAAATTTCATTTATAATTTCCTTAACATCTATACTTTATTTCTTAAAAGGTCATATTCATGGGCATAGAGGATATATCTTCGGAAGGGCTCTGGCTGGAACTGAAAGAGCTGAGCGTTTCCCGCGTTTCATCTCTTATTTTCAAATGATCTGTGGTCGACGGCGGACGAGAAAGTTTGTCTTTGTGCTCTTTTGACTTGTCTTTGCTACTGTGTTTGTGTTTATGCTTGTGCTTGTGTTTCTTCTTTTCCTTCTTCTTCTTCTTGGCCTGTAAAAAAAGAACTGTTATAGTCTAAGTAAGTGAGTGTACACACATTTTTATGTCCGTTTCACTTATTTGTTTTATTTACAGGCAAGTAGTTGATCATCTTTCTGCGACCTACCGGACCAAAACAATCTATAGTTCCTCCGGCATTCGAAGCCAGGACTTCTCGCCCTTAACGCAATGCTACGCAAGACAAATACATTTAGTTACAGTTGCGGACGTGCTGACTATGTAAAATAACTTCAACTGGCACTGTTAATTCAGAGAGAAATTTAATATTTGTTTCTATTATATTTATGGATAGTTTGATTTAAAAGGTGTGTGTTTTGCAAAGTAAATTTGTTATTCTGTCTAGTTATACCGCAAAGACCAGAAATGTCTTTTTATTTGAAATATCTTTATTCTGTACATATTTTATATGGTCTTACCTTTGGTGCGCCCAGATCATCTTTGTCATGTCTAAACATACCCGGCTCAAATCCGATTGGTCCGGACGAACCGGGTATACCCGGCAGAGGAGCCGCGTTGTCGGATATCAAATCACGTTTTGTCTCCTCCTGCAATAATACATTTGCAAATTTTTCTTAGAATAAGAATCTTAATATAATAAAGACGGATAAGTAGTATTTACAATATAATAGAAGTTTCTAATTTTTTATTATGATAGAGAAGGACAGACAATTGTAGGGTTCACTTGATTGTAAGTGATAAGGCATCACATCGAAACATGATGCGCTGTCGAGCTATTTTGATTTTCGATATACGGACTGAAACCGAAACGCGATTAAACTCGACGGCTTCTCATTCGTGGACGGTAGTTCATGACTTGAACGAAATTTTTATGTTTCTATCACCCGGTTAAAACCCAGATTTCCAGACGAAGTTCCAACCTGTTTTAGAAACAGGGGTTCGTTGATTATTAGCCATACATTATCAACGAACCCCTCAAACATTTAATAGCACAAATTCCCTTTGAAGGTTCATACATACCCGATATCCCCCCACAGGTAAATCGCTTATACCCATTATATCCACCTTTTCGTCCTCTTCCTTAATACTAGACAATGGAACGGGTAAGTTGCTGTCCTTTTGCGGTTCGAGAGGCGGCAAAATGTCCATAGCTTCTGGTTCTTTTTTGATAATCGTCTAAAACAAGTAATTAACACTGATTTTACGTAAAAGTAAAAAATAATAGCTTTTATCGCCACGTTTAGTTCGATAAAGACATTTTTATCATTTTAAATTCACAAGTTACAGAAATCAAACGACATTGGCAAGAGGCAGATCAAATTGATGCAGGTTCGATTTCCACTAGTGTAATAATTTTTTTAACCCAATTACGTCAAAACAGGTTCCGTACTTACGTTGTAAGTTTTGTACTTTGTGTTTATAAATGGATTATTTATTTATTATGCAGTTCCACTAATTGATTTTAATCATAGGCAAAGTTTTAGCACTTAGTGCGCTAAGGGAATAAAACTCTTTATTATGAGACCCAGGATATGAATCTAGCACTTTCGTTAGAATTTTTTTTAATGCAGTAAAAAATCACCTCATCAATTTCCTGTTTAATAACTGGTTTTAGATCCAACTCTCTCAACCTCTCTTTCTCTCTGTCCTGTCTCTCTTTTTCTCGCTCGAACCGTTCCCTCTCCTTGCTCTGCATAAGTTTCATCATAGCCTGTATCTCTGGTAGCGGGACACATAAAGGCCTCTTCAAACCGTATAACGTATAATACAGGTCAACGAGATCACATCTCAGACGAGCGTCGTTTGATAAATGGCTGTTCATATTGTTCCATAATCTAAAACATAAAAAGAATTTATTAGCGTACCATAACCAGCGATAACAGGAGATAAAATACTTTTAAGCAATACTGAATTGAGTATTGTCTGTAGTTTACGCGAGTAGTACACATTAAATAAAAAACTTTAACGGTTTAAAACGCGAAATATATTCACATTTTAATTTCAGATGCTTTGCAGGAATAAAGATAGACGATGTCCTTTATGTCAAAACTGCTATGCTAGCGCCATCTAGCGCGTCGTTGACTTTGACATTACGGACACCCTGCGTTTCCAGTCTCCCCGTAACCAAGTCTGGTACATAGAATTTTATGAAGATAAGTTTATTAATATATTTCGAGTTTTTACCGTTAAAGTGTTTTTGTATACCACTAGAATAACTTCAATATATTTTTGTATGCATAAATCCCTGTAAAAGATAGTAGTAAAGAAGATAAACATGCGATGTATTTAAGATAACAATTTTTTATTTCTTTCATATATCAATATAATTTAATAAGCTACGAATATTCATTACCAAAAAATAGATTTGGATTATGAATAACCTTGTAAGTACTAACGCGTATGATTATTATTGATTTATAAATGGTTTTCTTCATCATTATTTCTTTGGTTTTCTTACTTTCAAGACTTACCTATGTACAACGGATTCCGTATCAAGTCGATGTCTCTGACCCCGTTCAAAAGGTGGCATTGCCACCAACAGTCGCGCCAGACCATGCCTCACCCCAGGGTCTGGGTCGCTTTCTACCGCTGTCAAAAGATTTGCTAAGTCTTCTGGCTTTCCATCGACACGCACAAAATCTACTAGACCTTCGAAAGCTGCTAATCGAACATCTGTAACACATTAAGTAAAATAAATCTATATAAAACACATTTGACAGTTTAAAATGCAAAAAATATTGGTTAACATTATTTTACATATCAATCGGCGTTTTGGATACTTTGCAGTACCGTCAAAGGGTCAAAGTTAATTGTTTATTTGATAACAGCATAAAAATAAGTCAATATATTACGTGTTGTAAACCTTTAAAAATGTTTTATTTGAACGTATATGAACTACCATGATAAAATTGACAATACTTTAAATAATGATGTAATGTTGGATACATACGTTAAAAAAACCTTGCTGAAAATCAAGTATTTTGATATTTTTTGCAATTTACTTTTAAAAAGATGAGTCCTTTGATCAATGAATTGACAATGTGAAAAAATACCTACTTATTTATAACCTAAAATATAGTCGGGTGAGTTTTTAGTTAAGATATGGTGTGAAAAATGGTAAATAAAAATCTATATGTTTCTAAAAAACAGACTTTAAGGTAGTTTGAGTGATAGTAAATTATTAGTATACAATAATTTATTTATTTAAATATAATGTAAATTACCGATATATTGTCCATACTGAGCGTAGGCCCGAAAAACTGTTGGAATACTAGGCAAGTGGCCACACTGTTGAAGTCTGCGAATCGCCCGCAAACAGCTTACAGTCACCGTATTTTTATAACAGGGCAACACTTTTTCCAAGTTGAGCACGCGAGTTATTTCCTCAAGGACCAGCTTAGTATCAGCAGATAAGGAGTCGGCTGTTATTGGAGCACCCTATAATTGGTAAAAAATAAACTTAGCAAATTACATATCCCTTAACTCTCAAGCAAGCATAATACACGAAGTAGCATTAAAAAGTAAAAAAATAATCTAATCCCCATATTTATAGGAGGGTAATTGATCAGTCATGCGTCCAGCCCGATCAAAACAATATAATTTCCGCGAGATCCGAATCCATGATAAATAAATGACCTCCCGCGTTTATCACAATGCTAGGCAACATTTAAGCATTGAGCTACCTACATAGGTGTACATTTCGATCACCATTATATTTATTATACAACTTAACATTACCGGTTGTAGTACTGATATGACAGGTGTAATAGTGGCCGCCAAAGCATCAACAAGGGCAGCACGGTAATAGTTGTCCGAAAAATGGTTCTTCGAGTTGTCATTGTATTTGAAAAGGTCTAACAAGAATCGTACGACCTCTGGAGGACAGATACCGTGGATGTTTCTTAGGCCTGTAACGAAATCGAATTCACACCACATATACACGTGCAATAACAGAATTACACATTATACATATATCAGAAGTGGGATTAAAAATGTAAAAATTAATATATTTTAATGTTATACAATTGCTTGACCATTTTGTGGAGTTATTGAGCTGCTTGACAGTCGTATTTGATTAATGGTTTTCACCTTCACAAGTGGGCATCAACGCATGTTGATGATGAGAAACAGCGAAGGGATAAGAAATTGTAATAAGACTAATTACACCATTTTACGCTTAAAATTAATTTCTTGACTGTTACAAAGTTGTATCATTTCAACGAAAGATGCGTAAATGTAGTATAATATTTATATTTAAAATGAGAAAAAGTTTTCGTTTTGCGAGAAATACGAACACTATTTGATATAAAGCCCGTAATCATAATACTATGTATAACAACACATTCTTACCTGCCATAGCAACAGGAATAGTCCTTTGTAAGAAGTAATGTTGCAAGTTGTCAAAATTGTTTTGTTTGATGATATGCGGTGCTGAGAACGAACCGAACATCTTTCGAAATATCGTTAACATAGCTGGAGGGCCTGCCCATGAGCTTATCATTGCGTTTGCCACCTGCAGACAATAAAATAAAAAAAATGCTAAACAAGATCTCTAAATTTCTTAGAATTTCATAATATTTTATAGGCTTGAGGAGTTTGTTCAGTTGGTGAGTAACTAGTAGTGCGATTCTAATTAACATTAAAGTCACTAGAACTATTCCAATAGAGTAGTAACGGTTTGAGACGCGAAATATATATAGATAACTTATTTTTAACAGTAACCCTATGACAGATGGCGCCAGCGCAGCAATTGACATTAGAGGCGACCATGTTTATTCACATAGTATTTAGTAGACACACTAGGTCAGGTCATAGTTAAAAAAATTCGTTTCGAACCGTTGAAACTGTTTATGTGGATTACTCGCGTAAACTCGCACATTGGAGTAAATTACTGCAAAAGTAACGTAAAAAGGTTATTAGCAGACAGGCAATTTTTCTTAACCGTTTTTCGTAATCCATTCTGCTTTATAATTTCTACTGAAAAGTACCTTTGTCAAACAGTGTGCCGCCCTACAACGTATCTTGTAGAAAGTTTGCTCGTTCTCAATTGTATCTGTAAGCGCCATTCTTGTAGCGGGTTCAGGATAGTTGTGTAATGCGTCTATAGCTTCACTTTGGGCTGTCACGTCACGCTCGTGACGTAATTGATACTGCCACTGGTAATCCGGCTGCGAAATCACAGTGCTGCGCAAGAGCGACATTTCTGGATCCAATCTAATCCATAGTACCGGTGAGTCGCTGTAATAAAGAATCAATATATTTATACATTTATTAAATTTAAGAGCGTATGTGCTTATTTTTGGCGAGCGCGTCTATTAAAAATGGTTCGGCCATCACAAAATTTTGAGACGTTTACTCTTAAATGAAACTCTGTTTGAGTAAAGATTGAGGTAAATGGCATTTTTTACTCATTCCCACAGTAGAAGATGAAAAATAAAATGGTCAAAGGTTATACTTACTTATTAAAGAAAATACTTTTACGATCTAAAACGCGACATTGAAATTTCTTTAACTACGGCCGACGTTCCGGATGCTTTGCAGCAGCTGTAGTCACAGCTTACTATTGAAACTGTTAAGAGTGCTACTCGCGTAACAATACTCACTCCATAGCAGAGAGGTCCATGTCTACTTCTTCCCCGGTGCACAGTGGTATCTTCTTTTTCTTATTTCTTCTACTCTTACTGTGGCAGGTAATGTCTGCTTTGACGACAGTGTTCTCAATTTGCAGGGTATGTTTGAAAGTCCCGTCTAACTCTTGCAGTTGAACCAGTAACGGGCCGACGTATTTGCGTATACCACGCTCGTGAACGCAGTCTTGACGGATTTCCAGTTCCACTGTATTCCTAGAGGAGTTAAGCTTTATTTAGTGAACCTTAACCGAGTAGATTATATGAGGCTTTCGCGGAAATTTTGCAAAGCTACTTGTGCCTTTCTACCAGTCATCAAATATTGCACGTTCCTCAACTAAGCAAAAATTGACGACTCGTATCATTTTTATTTAGACTTCCGTCAGTCAGAAAGTATATAGGAAATCCCGTTTCCCCCTCGTGGGGCACGGGGCCAACACATTTCTGTGTCCGTTTCACTGATCCGTTCTTTAACAGGCAGGTAGTTGATCAGACTTCTGTGCCCTGCTTGACCGAAACAATTTTTTGTGTCCCTGGTATTCGAACCCAGGACCTCTCGCGCTTACCGCAATATTAGGTAATACGATTTGGAACCATTTGGCTACAGAGGCAGAAAGTACGCAATAGATATTCTTACTAACAATTTCTTATAATTCATAAATAAAACATTAAAAAAAGTATTTTAAAGCCTGGGGGGGGGGGGAAGTTACAAAAATCCATAAGGAACGTTTTGCTGTAAATATTGTTTTAACTGAACATTTGATTTAGTTCTCATAAACATATAAACGTAAAACCCCATTTCCTCCTATGGATTATAAGGCAAACATATTCCTGAGTCAATTTTATTTACAGATAAACAGAGTTGACTAGGCTTTGAAGCCTTGCCTTAATAAAACAATTTGAGGCCGCTACAGGTTTTAGGCCACTATTCTCTTGTAGATTAACATTTTGAACATAGTATATTGACTACGAAAGTATAAATAACTGAAGTCATAAAATTGCATTTAGGCTACTCTGCCTCTAGCGGCCTCATTTATCTTCTCATGCTTAAAGCAAAATTTAACCCAGAAACTCCCTAGTTTCTTGGTTAAATGTCAGTCATATTCAATAACAAATAAAACTTGCTCAAGATATCTTTAGCTAAACAACACATACCTCTTTCTATTAAACACAGAGGTCAATTGGAACTTAGCATGCCCCCCGGTTCGCACCCACTGATCAACAAACACAGCCATGTCCTTTCCAGTCACTGTGAATATTGCTTTTACAAACAAGTTTGTAGACAGCAGCAAATGGCCCCATAAACCACTTCCGATCTTCGTATTTGCTGCATTGGCCGCTAGTGATAGTTGTTTGTTAAAAACTTGCAGTAAGAGTTCTTGGCCTATCCGTTGCTCCAACATACGGAGTACCAAGTGAGACTTTTTACGCATAACCTATAAAAAAGATTAATCAAATTATGGAAATTAAAAGTCTTTTTATGATAGAGGTGGACAGACAAGCATGGGATCACTTGATTGAAGGTCAATTGCCCCAGTTATATAACATCTGAACAAGATATGTTGTCGACCTATTTTCGCTTTGGATGTGACTAAATTTGAAGGCTTTTTCACCTGTGGACCATGGTTTGTTACCCGGACTGAATTTCGATATTCCTACCAACCATTTAATAACCACACTTTCAAACGAAATTTTAATTTAATTTAAAAAAATTTATTAACAACATGTCGGACTCGGTGTGGGTCGAACCAGACGCCTTGATTATTATTATTAGCTGTACATAGTTACCATAATACAAACAAGCCCGTCAAGTATGTGAGAGATATCTTGTCAGTGATTCTTATGCTTTAGTTTGTAAGTCTTTATTTTATTAATTCTGGATGCAATAAAGCATTCAATCCAAACAATAAATCATTACCTCAGTATATTTAGGTGACATTGTGTTAACATTTCTGACTGGAAAATAAAACACATCCTTGGGTTCAACTCGCGCGCCACTTGCGGGCGGTTGCCATGGGTCCAAGACCATGCCACCATATTGTTCTTCATATTGTACCACCTAATAAAGCGTAAATTGTTTAAAAGAACATATTATAATAAGATGCAGAGAAATATTATTTAAAAACTCAAACAGATTAACAGACTGTTTTAAATTATTGTACAGTACTGTCCGTATTTATTAACAGACAAGATCGTGGTAGGCATATGACCTCTTTCCAGTAAATAAACTATCAGGTTATCCCCTGATTCGAACCCAGAATCTTCAATTCCTATGCAAAGCGATTTACAATCTACTTATATACACGTAGGCTTAAACAGTAATAGTAGGTACAAATAAAATCTCGTTTGCCCTAATGGGGCTTGGGCAAATACATTTCTGGGGTTTACTGATCAGTTTATTAACAGGGAAGTAATTGATCAGATTTCTAGGTCCTGCTCAACCAAAAATTGTTTCTTTGGGATTCAAACCCAGTACCTCTCGCGCATAACAATGTTAAGCACACGTTTAATAATAATTATTAGTATATAAGAACATACCTCTTGAAGTTCTTGATGAATCCGGTATCTGTACTCATTGTTACCGAAACACTTTTTAGAGTATAATCCGCACAGATAGTCAGGTATACCTTTAGCGAGCCACAGATCTGACCAATTCTGCATAGTTATGAAGCAGCCAAAGAACTGTTCCGCAACCGCTTGAGCCATGGCTTTCCGACTTATGTAGGTTTGGTCTATGATCGCTATTGAATGTAGGAGGTGTGTGCTTAGGATTGACATCATTGTGTAGGCTGTGGCTTCATGTTCAGTCTTGAATAAGCAATAGATATATAATATTAATATTTTAAAAACATTTGTTTCGTAATTGATATAAGCGCCATCTATTGTAAGATTAGTGAAATAAATATGTATAAAAATCAGAAAGACTTAGTGATGTAACCTTCTGGATATTTTTTTAGTCTATAAGCTGCCATTTGTAATCTCTCTGATAATAAAGTTAAAAACTCTATATCTATATTTTAATTCACATACAAACCTCATCGACAAAAACCTGCTTATAGCATGGGTAAGGGTACCTAGTAGATAGAGTCTCCTCATAAAATCCAAATGCTTCATGCAAATATCGTACAGTGTTCTTCAAGATTTGCAGTAAGTTTGGCAAACAATAATGTGTTACTTCATTCATGTGAGGATCCACATATGTTTCAAAAGGTCTAAAATCAAAAACTATTTATTTAATGGGCTTCTTTTTGTCTTTCTATTTTGTTTTATTTTACGTGAAACAAATTGTAAGATTAAGAAAAAAATTTTTTTTTACAAATTTATCAGTATTTAGTAGTATGACCACAACATATAACATTAAGGGCTATTAATTTTTATATAAAAAAATAAAAAAAATTATATAAAATAATAAAAAGATAAAAAAAATTATATAAGAATAATATATTATAAAAAATTAATATAATCGAAAAATCTGCAGGCCGATGAAGCAACATTAATTGTATGTTCTAAATTTATTTAAAACTACCCATATACTTAATTAATCAATTCTCATATAAGCAATTAACAATTTATAAACTATTTGCTTTATCCTATTATAGCAAAGCATTTCTTTCCTAATGTATGTCTTATGAGCAAGATCTTAAGGCTATATTAATATTTTTCACATTTCAGAAGATCAATTTCTTTTTACACGAATATGATTACTTTACTTACCCTATTGCCAATGCAATGTTCGGTGCACAGGCTGGGGTATTAACAACATAATGGAATGTTTTTCGTCTGTGATCTGGGGTATATACTACATCCAACAGTTCTCCGCATGAAACAGCTGTAAGACTTTCGTCAACTGTGAATTCTAATTTCCAAGTGCACGGTTCAGCAAAACTATCCACACATGGAAACCACAACCTTGCCGAGTGACCATATGTAAACATGTGTGCCGATTTCTGTAAACAAATTAATATAATAAACATATATATAATGTGAATTACAGAATTTCAACCATTCATCAATGATAATAACTGAAGAGTTCAGAAGTAGCTTTGGTAAATGGCTGCAAAAGTATTCAGAGTTGTGTTGTGTGTAGTAATCTCAAATGTATGTGACTTTTAATGAGGATGACAAACTTTTAGTTTGTTTCTCAATCATACACAAAAAATAGTTTAATTTGTATGTATTCCATCAGTGTTTAAGATTTTATTTTAAGACACATTGCTGATAATATTATTAATAAACCACTCAGACCTCAACTAGGGATCCTTCACCTTCTGGAACAACAAAATGCATCCCTCCTTGCGGAGATTCCAATGAGAACTCAATCCCTATTCTCAGTCCCCGTCCTTCCCCAACCAAATGTGCTGCTTCATCTGGCACTTGTATATGTAATTCACCAGAATTGTGATCAGGGTCTATTTTCTGTGCTGCTGATAAATGATACTGTGAAAACACTTCAAGAGATCTCCTGCAAAATAAAATAAGGAAATTAAACATATTATGTATTTAAAATAAGAATAAGAAATACAGAATATGTATATAGGATATCAAAAACTAAACATTGGGATAAAATATGGTTTAAAAACTTGTCTCAACAGACTTCATTACAATCAACTCCAGCACAATTCATGTCTATATTATACATACAAATAGGAGTAAACTTTTAAAAAAATAATTTTATTTTTTAAAGTACTAGTATATAATAATAAATTATAGATCCAATAAGTTCTACTCAAAATGTTGCAGTCTAAATGCCAATAATGGCATGAACACATTATTATGTTTTTAGAATACCAGTTACTTACGTATTGGGTTCATTTTGACAGATGTCCAAAAAGGGATCAAAATATTGAAAGTTAGCTTCATATTGGTCATTGAGACAAACTCTGTATATTCGACACTGTTTAGCATTGAGTCGTATATATCTGAGGTTATCTTTTAGTGGGACTATAGTTAGCTCCACAAAACCCTGAAAGATAGTTTCAAGTTTAAGTTAGTGGTTTTTGTACGCAAACAAAATTCAAGTAGGTCAATGGTTGCTTACAATAACACTTCTTCTCTCGAAACTTATTCCTGTCAAACTTAAGATTTGATGGGCTGTAAAATAATAACTTCATTCTTAACTGCCTGTTTATAATAAATAGAAGGGATTTTATTCAATAGATAATAAGGAATACTTATAATTTGAAAGGGCGGCAATTATCGCCGGTGCGTTCTTTCTTCATAGTGCCCTTCATTCCATCTCTAATTATAACTAATGCTCACAAAACCACAGTGTAATTTATCTAGCTTCGAGGGAAAACTTAATTAAAATAATCACTATTTCTTTACTTTGAAAATAATGCATTTATTATGAATTTTAGTAAAAGCAAACATCAATTTATACAATGACAATTGACATCTTTAAACCTGACAGTATAATGTACTCTGACTTTTTGAATAAACATGAAATACCTTACACAGGAAAGTATCTTAATTGATGATGGAGACTATTCCTAGAATAATACTTTTATTTTTAAGTAATTTTAAGTTTAAATAAGCACTCGTAGGATTTAAATTTCTTTAAAATTTACTTTTGTTAGCATACTAGTGACATCTGACAATTATGGTAACAACTTTCAAGTTAGTTGGCAGCATTCTACACTACGGGCTATCTGTCAAAATAAAGACAAGGAAGAGGCCTAAGAGGACATTGCGATTAAAATTAATTGCTTGCTTTTTGTGCCCTAAAAATTGTGTGAAAGTTATAGCAAATAATAAATAAAGCATCTTTAATGTGTGCATTTAACGTAACGAGTCAAAATGGGAGATTTGCCGTATTTGACTTGTTTGGTTTTGTACATATTTTCTTTTCAAATTATTGCTACTAACTCGCGAACCTCCAATATTTGGAAATTAGATGTTGAACAAGGTCAAATAGTGGATGGAACCACTATATCGCAAGTGAGTCTCATTTATTTTCATATTTTATATAATCGATATTTACCAGCACTTTGTTCTTTTGAAGGGGCTTAAAATTTACTTCTCATTACTAATTTTTCACTTATTTATCAATCTTGTATGCAAAGTTTATTATAATAGTACCATAAAGTATAATAATAATATTAAATTTATATACCACAGGGCTATATTTTTTCCATATTATGTGTTTCTTCAGGATGATACTGAGAAAGCTAAAATGAGTGAAGAGGATGTTGTATTCAATATAATAACTTCTACTGTGTATTATGGCAACACTTGGACTAAGCACAGTTTTGATATGTTTTGCACAGATTGCCAGTTTTATGACCAGCAGAGGTACATTTTGTATGCTTACTGAATTTAATTAGTAAATAATATACGAAAATATACTATAACTAACTTTCACTATAAGTCATCTTAAACACTCTCATAATTATATAGCTTTGTACAATATTTTTATACTGTATCGCAATAACATGTCTTATATTGTCCACTTAGTTATTATTAAGAAACAACTTCATATTGTATATCTCTGGTGGTTTATCATATTTTTCTTACTGTAGCACCCATTCTATTTTATTTATTTGCCTTTTAGAAGTGCCTCGGATAATAATGAAGAGATAAATCAACAAGATATTAATGTAGCTGAGCCTGAAGATGAATACTTAGATTGTGGAAAAGCAGTTAATTTTACATATTATGACAACCTCGTTGGAGTTGCAAGACGTCACAGACACCCTAATGTACCTGAACCACAAGTAAGCTATGTTTTTGTAGTTTTTACTGTATGTTATGGTCTACTGAGCTAGCCTTTAAGCTTTAATGAGTGAAATGATCAATAAATAGTGTGGGTTGATCACTAAGCCTTCTATTTGTGTCCCTAAAGAAAATAATAATAAGCTAGCTAAACTGTCTATTAGATGGTGAATGAAAGAATCCTTTGCCAAATTTAATGTACATAAAGTTCAATATGTTGATTGAGGACTTGAAATCAAACTTATAACAATAACTGAACTTGGATACACAGATACTATTAAATACGCAATAATTAAAATTGACTTCTGCCTGCTTGCTGACATTAAAACAAATTTTAAAAAATGATATGTATATGTGTTTAACTTGCAATTCAAAAAAGAACTATAATTACATATTAAGTAATGATTAGTTTATCAATTATATTTTCTGCATATGTAGTAAAAGTAATCAATTTCATACATTGGATGACCTATCTATTACAAGTTTTCTTCTTCAGGTTGCTCTTATCTTTACAAAGAAAAAATCAATCAAGAATGGTGTAACAGAATTAGACATCAATGCCTTAGAGAAGCGCCTTAAAAAAGCAAAGAGGGAGAAACCAAAGTCAGTTCAACTGTACAATCAAATTGGAAATTTTTGGAGAATCAAAGGTGATACACGGCAATCGATTGAGTGCTTTCGGCGGGCACTCGCTGTTTCTCCTTATAATGCAGAGGTAGGTGAATACAACTCTATAAGCAAAGTTTAATAAAACTGTTTGATTTAAATAAAACACTTTAATAGTTTAAAACATGATATGTATATTAGGTAAACTTATTAAAATTATTAAAAAAAGTACTTTAACGGTTTGAAACGCGATATATTAGTTAAACTTATTTGACAAATTTAACTTCGGTCCGAAGTTTCAAACCGTTAAAGTGTTTTATTTAAATGTGTACTACTCGCGTAAACTATAGACAGTATTTATTAAAATTATTTTAATAACGGCTCGACGTTTCGGATGCTTTGCAGCAGTCATTGTCATGCGAAGATGAAGAAGTACAAGAGAAGTTAACTAATATATCGCGTTTTTAAACTGTTAGTGTTATTACTTTCAGGTCTTGTTGAACCTAGCGAGGGTATTATTTACCCTGCAGTATCTAGACGACGCCATCTACCTGACACGGCGGTCTCTGGAAGTGCAGCCGCCGGACCGCAGCGCGTGGCAGCAGTACTTCACACTGGGAGAAATATTCAAAGCATATGGACATTATCAGGTAATTGGAGACCATTGAAGGAATTTATGATGATAAAAATAAGTTTTGGAATTGGCTACTAAGACTATAGGGGACCGCTAAAGGCAGAGTAGCCTATCTGCAATTTTATGACTAGAGTTATTTAAATTTTCATAGTCTAAAAATGGTAATCTAAAGTGCAGTGACCGAAAATTATTAACATAATTCTTATAGAAATAATAGTTAAATTTATTTTCGCCTAAGTTTTTGGGTTTTTTTTGTTATTAGGCCACTCTGCCTCTAGAAGCCTCATATATAATATAATAAACCATACTTCACTTTATGCTTATACTCTAAACACATTTATTTAATCCCAATTTCTTGTTGGTAATCTGCTGTCAATCTTATAGGAAGCCGCAGTGCATTTAAGGCACACACTTGACCTTAGGCCTGACTTCGAGCCAGCGCTGGTTGCCCTTAAAGACATTGAAAATATTCCGGAAGCCTCTGTACATGTGTATACTCTTCTAATTATTGTTTGCTTGGTATGTATTATAAGTAAGGCTTGTTAAATAACTTTCACTGAAGAATTTTGAATATTACTAGATGGCTATTCATTTGTGTTAATATATACACTAAAGTTATTTTAAACAAAATTTGCCATGTACAATAATATTTTATCAACTCTTGAGTTAGTCCAATTATGAATGAATATATAAAAACTAATTTAATTATTATAGATCGCATTAAAAGTCTTTCGAGATATTTTTATTCTACTATTCATTTATTACTAATAATAAATTGATATACAGTACCTAAATCGGAGTTAATTTAATATTAAATTCGCAAGAAAATACGAAGACGACAATTTGACACGCTCGTTAGTTTGGATTCGATCCCCACGGGTCCAAAAATTTTCTATTCAATTTATAATTTTTCTGAAAAACTGGATTGCCTGTTAAAATGGGTGGTATGAATATCAAAATTCAGTCCGGGTTACGCACTATTGTTCGCAGATGAAAAAGCCGTCAAGTGTAATCGCATTTCGGTTTCAGTGTGGATTTCCGAATATCGAAAGCCAACATACGTCGACAGCACATTGTTTGGATGTTATATGATGATAGTTTCTAGTATAGATTAGAATTCCACGCTTGTCTGTACTCTATCGCCAAAAATTTTAATGAAATCTTTCTTACATATTATGAATAATAAAGTGTTACAAAATCCAGAAACCCATGTCTACGCTTATTTTCCTCAGGTGATGGGAGTATTGCTAGTGATCCTCTCATCAGTCGACAGCGGCAGCGAATCAGAAGATCACAAAACTCAGCGGCACTTCAACCGCGCAATGGCGATGCGTTCCCTCCGCGGCGTGGTGGGCTCGCGCGGTCGCAAGAAAGGCGGCTCTTAGACTTTGCGTTGCTTACTTACGATCTCGGCAAGTTGCTCAAAATATTGTTTTGTAATTAACGTATTATTTATTCGTTTCATTAAAAAATAATGATACGTGTGTTAGTGATGTTGGTGATCGCTACGATTTGTTACTTTTTATTCCAAAATAGACTAGCTGTACGCTTAAAATACAATTCCGATCCAATCATATTGTAACATCCTGTGTATATGTCAATACTCAGTAAGTACAGATATCAAACTTCGTACTCTAAAAGAGTGGGTAGTCAAATGAAGGTACGGTTTTAAAATACCTTCTATTATAAATACCGCCAAAACATGTCACAAATAATTACTACTATAATACGAGTTACAATGTAAAAAAAAAAGTTTGAATTTGTTCTGTGCGTAACTCGGTTAACTTGCTGAAGATCGTAACTAGGATTTTTGAGAATATTCGATTTTTCGCTTGCTAATTAAAATGAAAAATATAACGCAGGCTAAAATTTTATTAATAGTGTTTAACGCTAATACCGCGTTTGGGCGAGGACTGTTTTTGTTGTGGTACTGTTCTATTGTTTTTTTTTTAATAATCTCATTTCATAGTCACCTAACTGATGTAAATTTCTACTCATTATTCAAAAATAGAACTTCCTATCATAAAAAAATACTTAACACTGAGTACTTATAAAAAAAACTAAATTTAATAATACACTTTTAACGGTTAACCAAGCGAAATATATTTCAGCTTTTTTAAATACGACCTACGTCAAGTGGTATTTAAAATAAAAATAAGCAAAACATCCAACACGGGCCATAGTTAAAACGTTGCCTAATATATTTCCTTAGTTAAACCGTTAAATGTATTCTATTCTCTCTGTTAGGAAGTCACATTGTGAAACATAGCTGATACTTCTACTTATTGACTAATGGCGGGTTGTGTTATAATTTTTGTTTAATTTTAAGTATTTTAATGGAACAGTACCGTCAAGAGGCTATAATGGCTTATGTACAAATATTACTTAATTATAATTAAACAGACCGGTTCGGTCTTGCCATGTTTAATTTGATCTCTGCTACATAGTCAATCTAACTTTTAGTAAACGAAATCTTAAAAAAAAACTATCAAACGTGAATAGGAGTTTGCTTTAAATATACATTTGTTAGACGTGTGAGTCTCGATTCGTATCTCGAATTAAGTATTCCGAAGCGGTGTTTAATGAGAATGCCGTTCTGAAAAAAAAAATAGCATTGGATGCGTAAAGCCAGAATAGAAGCTGGACCTTGGCCCGTCGTCGGAGCGTTACACTGCAACCTAGTCATTCACTTAGACAAGTTTGATCGCGCGCGCGGTTCGGTGTGTAATTCGTAAAGTAGTGCATGAAAGTAACTTGTTAAGCGTTCGTAGCGTCTAAGGATTTTAAGAGGAATTCTTGAATTCTGAGATTGGTAAAAGTGTACCTGTTTTCAGTGGTTCGTTTGTTAATTTTTGACTTATTTATTACCTAATACATGATTGTCTTAGCATCTGATTTTGTTTTATTTTGATGCCTCAAAACTGGCCAAGTGTCATCCATTAATAAAACACTTGTATCGCTTTAAAAGGCAGAATACAAGCTAACTTATTTACAATTTATTTTAACTATAGCTCGAAGTTTCAAACCTTCAGTAGTTGCTACGCTAGCGCCATCTGTTTTATCGTTGTAGCTTTTCTTTGGGATTAAGAACACGTAACCCTGGCTACTGCGAAGCATCCAAAAGATTAGACCGTAGTTAATACATTTTTAATAAGTTAACTAACACATTCTGAGCTTTAGACTGTTTAATGGGTTTTTTTATGTGTACTACTTGCGTATACCGCAGACTTAATGTGTTTTTGCATATAATAACTAGTTATGCCAGCAATATAAATGCATCATATGTGACCACATGACAAGTTAGTATAAAACGCTGTGAAGTTACTTGCCATTTTCAACTTCTGTAGCTAAATCAAACGAGGTAAGAACAGTAGACTGTCAGAATTTTTTACATTTAGAATAAGAATAATGACTACAAAATTATAGTTGTATTTATTACAAAATGTATACATGTAACTGAAAATCATCCCCACAATAACTTCAATAATCTTTTAATTACAATTATCTAAGCCAAAGTAACGCCAAATTAAGGATAAATATACAAGATTTAAATTTAGAGGCGATAGCAATAAATTCTTATACCTAGATAAACAATATAAGATGTGTTACAGCATGAGTGATAGGGGTTGTTCATTAATTCAATAATTACAATAGGATAACTAAGCAATGTCGTGGATACCAAGACGGAATATGTCGTGTTGCACAAAGAAGGAGTCACCGAGTGGCTTCAGCACAAATGTCTGCATGTATGGATGTGGTGGGTCTTCATCACACTGAAATTTAACGATACAAATTATCTTCCAATGTACTTATTGTAAAAAGTAGATTTTTAATTCCTGGCAACAATGAACCAACATACAATCATGTATGTTAAATACTGTCTATAGTTTACGCGTTTATTACACATTTAAATAAAACACTTTAACGGTTTAAAACGCGATATATTAGTTAAACTTATTTGAAAATGATTTTTAACTTCGGCCCGACGTTTGGGATGCTTTGTGACCATGGCTGCTGCAAAGCATCAGTTAGTGTTTTATTTAAATCATGTGTGTGTGTAAAATAGAATAAGCATGCACGCCAAATGTCTTAAAACAGTTGCATTTAATTAATACAAAATGTTTAATTAAACACTTATAACTGTTTAAAACGCGAAATACATTAGTAAACATTTTTATTTCAACTACGACCCGACGTGTCCCTTCGTGGAATAAAAAAATATGATATATTTACGTTACGTTTTAAACCATTAAGTGTTTTATGTAAATATGTACTCGCATAAAATACAATACTAGGGACATACTGTTATATAAATATGGCTGGGGCAGTTAAGTAATGAGGAATCAATAACCAACTTCAACTTAGGTGTATTAATTTTTTTTAAATATAACACAATATTAGTGACAACAAAAAACTGTAGCTAGCATATTGTACAGTTCAAACCAAGAACGAACTGCTTACTGGTAAAAATTTTATATATCATGAAGCGCCAATCTGAACATATCATGTTCAACATAGAAAGAGTTGCCAATAGGCTTGAGGACAAATGTTTGGAAATATCCATGAGGTAGATCGTCATCTGTCTGCATAAAACAATACAGCTAACTTAAAGGCCAATGTAAAACTGACCAAGTCAGAAATGAGAACTAAAGTTTCTATTCAACAGAATAATAATACAGAAAAGAGACTGTCTATTAATAGTTACTTCTCTGTAAAGGGGAGAAAAAAAGGGGGGGGGGGGGGCGGGGTTTATTATTTACATATGTTTGCAAATATATGGTCAAGTCATAGGTACCCTTTTAGGTTTAATCTGTACCCTTTCTATACCAAACCCTAGATAAATATTGAGAAATCTAGTCACGTAAATATATCTGTTAAATGTTTACAAAGGTTTACTAACCTGCAACCTGCCGAGAACATTAATTAAAACACCTCCATCAAACATTGGTTGCGAATCAACTGATGTTACTATTCTACCAATCTTTTGAAATGTTAAGGCCTGTAACAAAAAAAATAAAACTTGTATTTAGTAATGCTCATACTTTTTACCAAAACTATAGTTGAAGAAACAGATGATAAGTTAAAATTAAGGTATATTGTTATCTGAGACTTTAAATTGCAAATTCATTTTAATTGTGAATCACAATGAATATCGGTACACTGAAAGTAATAACAAATCATTATAACTGTTAGGGTAAGTACATAATACAATAAGATTAGCTCCAACTTACATTTAATTTCTCCATTATTTTAACAGCACCTTGAAGTTGTACTCCTTCAAAAGTCATAAAAGATGTTTCAACCTGCAAGGTATGTGAAATTATTTACAAGATATCAACAGAAAAATAATAATCTAACCGGATATAAACAAATTCGAAAAAACTGGTCATTTTTCGGCGGGAGTCTAGGTATATGTAAGATAACCTTAAACCAGTAACGAAATTACTTACATTATAAAACAAGATAGCGTAAAAGATTTAGAGAAAGTAAGTGAATATGATAAACAAGTTGACTTTTAAAAGTACTCACGTTGTACATCGATGCAAGATTTGCTCGTTGTGCCGGATCGTCGAATAAAGTGTAATATTGTTGCACAAAGCCTCTGCCGATAGCATCGTATTGAGGATTCAGCGCCATTTAGAATATTTTGAAGTAGATACCAAATTATGTAAATAGAAATCCAATTTAATTTTTATTTCAGGCCTTTGGTGGGCCCCCGAATTTCACTTTCATACAGTAAAATTTTAGAAATAATGTTGCCACCTCAATGTTTCGGCTTTGCAACAAAATTCGGTTATCTTATCACAGCATTGACATTATCCTCCTCTTTCCTAATTCCACTTTAAACAGACAAAAATTATCTCTATATTTGTTTGTTGAAAAATAAAGAGATGCTTGAAATAACGCAATATTAATGTTTGTATTTTACATACTTAAAACAAGTTTTTGGAAAATCATAACAAAAAAGGTAACCCAGCGTCTACAGAGCTACTAGAGAGGGACTAGAACACATTTATAGACTGCTAACAGATTGTGTAATGTCATACTCGTTAATTGTCAGTGATAGCAAGTATCCAGTACAACCACAAGCAACTCATGTATACTGCAAGTTTCTTCCAAACACAAATATTCTACAAACTCAAGTAATGTAAGATTTATCACACGGTTTTGTAAAAAAATATCATGTCTCTCGCTGACGAATTACTTGCTGATTTAGAAGAAAATGATGACGTTGATCTTGAAGCTACTTTAGAGCCAACAACCTCAGACCAACACGAATTCGCGGTTCCTTTTCCTGTTATACCGAAGGAAGAACAAATAAAAAATGTTTCAATTAGGGAATTAGCCAAGTTGAGGGATTCCGATAGTCTAAAGCGTGTAAGTAAACAAATAAAAGATTATTTCTGTCTTCTGACAATGCCTCATGAACATAATATGAATCTAGGAAGTTTAAGAGCAAGTTCCCGTAACTTTATTACCAAGTTCAATGTTTTTCTTCAGGTTGTAACTGAAATTGCATCAAATGCTGGGCACAATAGGAACAAAATGGAAGTAACTGGACTAATGGAATCAGATCCAGAGTATCAACTAATTGTTGAAGCAAATAATATTGCAGTTGAAATTGATGGTGAAATAGGTAAGGTTACATGGCCACCATTAAAATAAACACTAACATATTTGGATGCATGCTCATATGTTTTTATAGATCTGAGAAAACATTACACTTTGCAGCTATTATTCACAGATTTGTCCGAGACAAGTACCAGAAGCGCTTTCCTGAACTGGACTCCCTGATTGTGACTCCCCTTGAATATATCCGATCAGTAAAGGAACTCGGTAATGACTTGGACAAGGCTAAGAGCAACGAGACATTACAAAGCTTTTTAACACAGGCAACTATAATGATTGTCTCAGTTACTGCATCTACAACACAAGGGTACAGATATAACATTTTTTGTTTCTATTATTTATTTACAGAGTTAATCTTCAAATAGTAATTATTATATCTGCCTAAAAGTATTATACTTTAGTATATCTATATAATTTAATATTGTGTTTATATCCATCAGCTTGCTGGTTGATGTAGTTTATGATACCTAATCCCCCATGCGTTTATCTACAGTGATTAATGTTGATTATAATCATTGACCCAGGTTGGACTTTGACCACTTGACTTTGAGAAGCTGGTTCCGAACCTGTATCAAAGGTTTTCAATAATTTTAATTTCATAAATCATATTGAATTCTACGATATCTTTTTTAGGAAATTACTATCTGATGATGAATTAAGTGAAATCAATGAGGCTTGTAACATGGCATCAGAGCTAAATACTTTCAAGTCGAAGATATATGAGTATGTGGAGAGCCGAATGACGTTTATTGCACCAAATGTTACTGCTATTGTTGGTAAGATAATCTTTAACGAACACATAAGCCTAATATCCTGGTTTAATTGGTAATAAAAAAAAGTTCACACATCCTACTAATATTATGAACGTGAAATTTTGTATGTATGGATGGATGTTTGTTACTCTTTCACGCTAAAACTACAGCTAAAATTACTTAATTGATTTCAATTAAACTTTTCCATAATATAGCTTATACATCAGAATAACACATAGGCTACAATTAATAAAGATATTGTGTGAGCTGTCCAAAATATGATATTAAGTGACTAGGAAAAACCTACCTTTCAGCGAGCTATTCTGGCGTGCACTGCCATAAACGTTAGTTACACGTATTTATGTCATATTGTTAGTTCTTTTCTATGCCACGCTAATATAAGCTACTCTAAATACTAATCCTGCGTAGACGAAGTCGCGGGCACCAGCTAGTACATTATATTTTTCTGTCTTGATTATGTTGGGCTTGAAACATTTACGCTAGTCACCAAAAATAATAAGCAGCCTTTATAGAGGATACAAGTGTCCATCTGCTAACTGAATGCTCAATGGACTTCAAGTTAAGGCATTTATATGGGAACTGACAATATGGCAGACGTCAAAGAATTAAGGATGAAACAAATAGCAAAGGGACACAGTGAGAGATAAATAACCCAAGGTCCTCTATAAAAGGGAAATTGTTGAAATCAATAGCAGCTAATTTTTTAACTAAGGCCCAATGTTTCAAATGCTTTGCAGCAGCTGTGATCGCTGGGAGACTACTGCTGCAAAACATTTGAAATGTTGCTAAAGTGGTGCACTACTTGCGTAAACTACAGATAATACTTATAAGAATGGTGTTCTGTATGAAATGACTGTAGTTTACGCGAGTAGTACACATTCAAATAAATCACGTAAACTTACTTGACATTTTTTCTGCGGCCCGTCATTTCGGATGCTCTGCAGTAGCCGTGGTCACGGGGGCCGTTTTTTATTTTTTATTTAAACTATGTATGGTTAGTATTTGGCCAATATATTTAACTTTCGTAGTTACCTTACCTTTCTGGTATTTCCAGGTGCTTCAACAGCTGCTAAAATTCTTGGTGTGGCAGGAGGTCTCTCCAAACTTGCCAAAATGCCGGCATGTAATGTTCTGCCCCTGGGACAACAAAAGAAGACCTTGTCTGGTTTCTCTCAAGCAGCTGCTCTTCCTCACACAGGCTTTATATACTTTTCACAAATTGTCCAGGACACAACTCCAGTAAGTATAATATTTACAACAAAGAGAACAAAAATAACGTCTAAAGCCAAAATAGGTCGACCACACATCTTGATTAGTGTTATATGACTGGGATATTTCACTTACCATGACTTCATCGATTCGTCGATGGATTCGATCGATCGTCGATTTTTTTAACATGTTGATACTTGCGCAATCAACCTTAATACGCCTGGTGTTAAGGTTCGCTAAATTGGTTTGAGCAACAACACGGAACAATCTCTGCCCATGTCGTAATATATATATATTTTTTTTCAATATATAATCGATTTTTTATTTATGTAGAGTCATAACATGTGAAATATGTACATGTGCAATAACATGTGAAAAATATTAAACTTTTCAAATGTTGTATGTTTTTCACACAGGAGCTTCGATATAAAGCAGCAAAGTTGGTGTCGACGAAGCTTACACTTGCTGCTCGCGTCGACTCCTGTCATGAGAGCCCCGATGGACAAATTGGTCGGCAGCTGCGCGAAAATATTGAGAAGAAATTAGATAAATTACAGGTGATATTTACATTTCTTATATTTTAAAGAACATTAAATCTTTATTCAAAAAATATTGACGCTGCATATTTTTTATTTTATTGTTTCTTTATTATTTAAACACACTACAGAAAATACATATTAACGAGGAAAAAAAATAATCTTACGTACTAACTTATAAATAAAAGGCGGCCTTATTGCTAAGTGGCGATCTCTTCCAGGCAACCTGAAGTACAAGAAAAAATAACGTATTTAGTTTGTAGGTGTAAGGAATAACAACGAATAGCAAAGGTACATAGAAAAGTACACACAATGAGCAAGAGGGGAACTAACTGAAATATTGGACCGTAAAATTTATACAGCAAACTTTTAAAAGAACGGAGTGATTGAGCTTTTCTGATATTAGTGGGAAGACAGTTCCAAAGACGGATAGCTTTAACTGTGACGGAATTATTAAAGAAAGAGCTTTTATGAGTAGCATACTCACCTAACCTAACCGACTAAACCATTTTCGTCATGATAATTTAAAATTGAAACGTTGTCATACAAAAATTTAACAATCGTTAGTCGTCGCGAACCGTTTCCCAATCGCGACATTCAAACAGCTCAAGAATTCATATAATTTATATTAATAATTCTTTGAACTATTGTTTTCCTTTTCTTCTAAGAGAAATTGCTTTTATTGAATGGCATTACTTAAGAATTTTTTGATTTGGGTTTCACGATATCAGAAGGCCATATTTTTAACTACAGTTATTCTTATAAATTTTTATATGTTTTAAAACATTGATAAGCAGATTGATATATATGTAACTGATTATAGATGCCGAGTAACAACAGCCACTATAATTCAATATAAAAAATATTAATCTTCTATTAAAATCATGATTTATATAGGAACCGCCGCCAGTGAAGTTCGTGAAGCCGCTACCGAAGCCAATAGAGCAGAGCCGCAAGAAGCGGGGAGGCAAGCGCGTGCGCAAGATGAAGGAGCGATACGCTATGACGGAGTTCCGCAAGAACGCCAATCGGCTCAATTTCGCTGACGTGAGTGTAACGTGGGACTTATACATTAGGCCTGTATATAATATTGATTAGAAAAACGAATACATAATATTCAAATCAATCACTTTTAACGGTTTTAAACGGCAACGCATCCGAAACGGCGAGCGTAGTTAAAATATTTTTCAAATAAGTTTAACTGATATATATCGCGTTTTAAACCGTAAAAGTGTTTTATTTAAACATGAACTAATCGCGTTAACTACAGACAGTATTTGAATTCTTTTTAAATAATTTAATCCACACTATAAACAAACAAACAATATCCATTTAGAAACTGTAAAATAATATAAGAAAGGAATAAATGGTTTATAATTGTCACATACACTACGGGAGGATATCACTCAGTTTTTGCTGCAACAGATTTGTTGCAGTGCCGATTTTCAGTGGTGCCCCATGGATGGCTCTTAGCATGACAGTCAGAAATAATGAGGAAATACTTAAAATAAGTTACTATACAACAAAAATCAAATAAAAAAGTTATATATTTATTATATCTATAAAATAAAATATATATAAATAATATCTAACATCAATCTCTCTGCAATAAGTACCAACCTCAAAAAAGTCGTGAGTAATGGCGTTTCGGGCTTCTGGTGGTTCAAAATCTATTTAGGTTGTCCACACATCTTTCATAATAGCATTAGCTAACAGCAATTCCCTTATTCCGTGCTGCTTCACTAAGATCAATCAGGTTGCCAATACAGGCGCTGGTCTCCTTTATTACCCGGTATATAAACAATTCGCGTGGCTAAAGTCACAACAGCCTAAAGATATTATCAAACATACTTAATTATATCCCATTAGCTTGTTTGTGTGGCTTCACACGTGTTTGATACTCATAAATATTCGTTGTCCGGCTTTATACTACGCTTAACATATTATATAGATATGGATGACTACTTCGTTTACATAATCTTCATAACCTATCGGTCTATAAGAATATGAAAAAAGTAGAATTATTTAAATAAAATACTTTTGACGGTTTAAAACGAAAGTTATATAAGTTAACCGATTCTTAATTCATCATAAGTCCGTTCCGGATGCTTTGCAGCAGCCGTATCCACAGGGAGAGTGAAGATGAAGGGGACACGTTCCATCTAATCGTAACAGTGTTTTATTTAAATGAGCTTACGTAAATTAGTATCTCTGAGCTTTTGAGATATTTATGTCTTAATGGAAAACCCTGTCTCATAAGAGAGAGTTTCTCTGTTGTGGGTAGCTGAACTATCTACTGCCACTAAATTAGTAATAATAACCTTGCTTTACATAAGTTAAAAATCTAAAACTTTGACGACATGGACGGGACCGGCACCCACATCGTCCCTGGTTCTGCTTTAACCAATTGAGTTAACACATCTAAAAAAAAATGTGTCACAGATACTGTCTATAGTTTACGCGAGTAGCACACATTTAAACAAAACACTTTAACGGTTTAAAACGCGATATATTGGTTAAACTTATTTGAAAATGATTTTTAACTAAGTTTAACTAATATATCGCGTTTTAAACCGTTAAAGTGTTTTATTTAAATGTGTCAGAGATGTGTGGATTTATAATCTCAATAGATTATGAACTGTTCTACTGTTCGTTATTGTGGGCACACACTCACAATTAAGTTATAAGCAATTAATAATTAGAGTTCCGTTAAGCCAGACCAAGTTGCGTTAAAGTAGGCTGCAATAATCCTATTATAGGATGAATTCTAATTATTGCACAAATTGCGCCAATTATATTGCCATTCTCGGCGACTACGAACGAGTCCATTGACTACCGTAATCGAGTTGAATATTGATATAGACTCGTTCCATAAGTACATAAATCTATTTACCTTTTTTAGCCTAGCGTTAAGTATACTTTACCGTGTAACTTGCTTTATAATAATGCGTTTAAACTTCTTTACCCTTAAAGTATTAATTAATTGTTTTAAAATATATGGAAGTTTATATATTAAAACAAGTAATTTAGAGTCTGTTACTAAAATTAAAAAGATTTTTATTTATTTAACCTAGAAGCCAGATAGAGATGTAATATTAAGGTTTCTTAAAGTAACATATCAAAATATGAGGATATTTTATTACAGACACAAAACCAATAAATTAATGTGTATTTTTATGGTATTGTTAAAAGTCAGCAACACGGGCGCGATTCAAAGCCACGACCATATTTCGTGCTGTACCAACTGAGCTACCGTGTAAAGCACACGGCAGCAAAACACTGCGTTGTTAATCAGTGTTATCGATTTTTTGACAATATATTAAGCTATTGTCAAATATAGTATTGTATTTGTTTGTAGCATGTTGCACTACTATGAGTATATCAAGTCTATTTTGATATCTTGCGTACGCAACGCAACCCTCCAATATGAATAAGTGTCCCCGCTTTTTTTACATCTTCCTCTATTTCTTTGCTCCTATAGCCTTTTCTGATATTGGTCTAAATAACACAAAAATAATATTTCAATTCAAACCAGTAGTTCGTGAGACTAGCGCGTCCAAACAAACCAAAAAAGTCTTCAGCTTCAGAATGTAGGCTTAAAATTTATTGTATATAAAATATTATAGTTATAACTTAAATATTTGTTTGAATGTACATATATGTTAATCAACATAACCGATCCGTTGCGGTATGTTCGCGGAATCTTTAATGCGATTCCCGATCTACCGCCGTACTCCAACTGCGGGTGAGTCGCTTTTTTCGCATACTTCAAATAGACCGGAACTCAAAACTGGTGGAGCGATAGACGTTCTGTTACAGTTGATATTCAACCAGTATGTCCAACCATTATTTGTATAAGAATTTACGGTACAATTAATAATACATTTTATATAAACTTTGTTCGATTTTGAAAGCCATGTTAAAGTTCTTAATTTGTTTATTTGCATACAGCGAGTTGATTAACCTATTTTTCACGGTTTAAAACTCGAAATATTGTAGTAGTAGTTGAGATCTATTGCAATACAATAAAAATATTTTACTAGGCCCACTTTTTATGTTGCAGTCAGGTACTTGGTTTTATAAACAAATTGTACAATCTCAATTTTATTGAGCATTTGTTTTTAGGACAGCCATTGAAAACTATGTCAAGTGATAGCTTATTATTTATTGCATGGATTTCTTTGTAAATCTTCTTCGTCCCCTATAAATATAGCTATCTATTATCAAATATCTTGATATTGTACTACTGTTTGACTTCATCGGAATAAACTGTACCTAGATAACCTCATTGCAGTCGCCGTCACAGCGACGCAGTACGTGCTCGCGCTTTCGTGACCATTAGCGAACTTTTTGTTTGAATTATAGAGGAATCTGTAACGATCGTCTGTAATTCGTTAGATATGTGATCGAATGGCTTAAATAAGTATACGTCCCGGCACGCTCGACAAGTAATAACTGAAACGAATCTATTTAAATAAAACACTAACGGTTTAAAACGCAATATATGTTAGTTAAACATCTTTGAAAATTATTTATTTCTTCATCTTTAGTCTCCCCGTGACCACGGCTGTTGCAAAGCATCTGAAACATGGGGCCGTAGTTAAAATAATTCATTCAAATAAGTTTAACTACAATACATCGCGTTTTAAACCGTTGAAATGTTGTATTTAAATGTGTACTACTCGCGTTAACTACAGACATTAAACTAATCTACTTCAAAATATAATCTTTATGGTTTAAACTCCTATAAGATGACTCCTTTTTATTTTTTTTCCTGTTTATTTTTTATAAAATATCATTTCAAACGAGTGATAAGCGTTATCGTTAATTACCGGATATTATAGATAAATGTAAATAAAGATCATTTTTGGTTCTAGTCTCGAATCGGTCTTAAATTTTAAGTATAAGTATATTTTTTAACAAAATATACCCAACTTCAAATTGCAAACGAAACAAAAGAAATCAAAGTAATCGTGTTTGGGTTCCTATATTAAAATTAAAATCTTTATAATATAACTTTGAAGTCGGCTCATCAATTTAAATAAATAAAGTTCAAACACAAAATAGCTACAGGCAATTGTTCAAATCCCTAAAACTTCCCTCGTGTTCAGAATTTAGACCCCTAATGACAGTTACCATCTAGAGTTCTTAACAATACAAATAACTTAAGCTCAAACCGAATTGACGTATAATTTAAAAATCGAATAGATTGAAAAATATTCGACTCGGGCAGGACTTGAACCATCATCGTCAGCGTTTCGTGCTGTTGCTCTCGCATTGGAGCTACCAAGTCTGTTGGTAGAGCAGTCCTGCCCTTGGATTGTAATTGTTTTTTTACTTGTATAAGTTTACATCAAGTAGTATTAATAACTTACTTAAATGAAGTAACGAACACAATTCTGTTTGGATATATTAGTTACGAATGTAACCAAAAGCAAGTAGATATTTTGTTACGAAACCTCCTTGCCCACAAGACAAGGTTATGTTCGAGAACTGATAATTGATATTGAGCAGATTTACGGTAGCACCGAACTTGTAACAAATCTGAGTACACTGAAAATAAAACTGTTTACCAAGATTCATTTTAAATTAATTCATATAATATCCATTAAAATTGTAATAACTTACATAATAAATCCAACACGATAATACTATTGTCTTAACATTAAATTTGTTTTAGCAATAATCTATACTATTGCCTGTAGTTGACGCGAGTAGTACAAATTTTAAGAAATCACTCTTAACTGTTTAAAACGCGCAATATATCGGTTAACTTGTTTACAAATACTTTTAATACGGCCTGACGTTTTGTAATATACATATTACAATTACTTATTTAAAAATTCATAAACGTATAAATTAATTATAAAATTAATTGATCGGATCTGTACTTTTCAGTTTTACTGTTTAAGGTTTGGAAAACCGAAATCAATGGACTGAAATTGCTTTATTCATGCTTCACGGCCTTTTCTTCTGTAGATGGTAGTTCTTGTCCCGATGAAATTTGATATTCCCATCATCCATTTAATGTAATTTTTTTCTACACATAAGCATTTTGGCCATAATCAGAAAATAGTTACCACACACGTTGTACGTGGAAATCAAACCCACGACCCTTTAGATATTACCGATACATGTCTATAATTCAATCGATCAAAAGTTTTTTTTTATTTTGCCAACAGATTGAAGATGACGCGTACCAAGAGGATTTGGGTTACACTCGTGGTACAATTGGCAAATCCAGTACCGGCCGAGTTAGGTTACCGCAAATAGACGAGAAGACCAAAGTCCGCATAAGTAAAACACTGCAGAGGAATCTACAGAAACAGCAGCAGTATGGGGGCGCGACTAGTATTAGACGCCAGGTGTCGGGTACGGCGTCTTCGGTTGCCTTTACCCCGCTACAGGTAAGAAAATGTCACATATTCTTCATATATTTAGCTAGTTGTTCCAGCAAATGTTGTTTTGTTGTTTGATTCATATTATTTTATGTTGATAAGTAAGTGGCATCTCGTTTCCCCTTGTGGGACTTGGGGCAAACACATTTCTGTGTCAGTCTCACTGATCGGTTTTATTAACTAGCTTCTTCACCTATTGTAACCCCTGGGATTCGAACCTAGGACATCTCGTGCTTACACATTAGACAATTTATGTGCAGAGTCGGTTAATATATTATGTTGATACAATTCTAACAAATAATTGGTAATAAGGCATTATTTCGACCATAGACATATGTTAGACACTAGCTGTGCCAGCGACTTCGTCCGCGAAAGTCGTTCTTTTGGGCATCCTAATTCGTTTTTGCAAACCCCTTCTCATCTTTATAAACTGAAGCTGTTACCCACAATGTCGGTTCCTAATTGCGAAATTTATTCATCATTATTGGTTACCGAGACGTACGCTGCGAAAACGGTTCACGACACCTAAAAGTATGTTTGAAAGAATGATTCCTCTTTAAATGATCTGAAAAAATGTCTGCGACACTATATGCCTATCTTTTAAGTTTACTTGTAAGAACGACGCGTCGCGAGCGATGTCGTGGGCAGCATAAATTTATATAGATGTAGAGGTTTGCAAAAACTAATTTGGATGTCCAAAACAACTTTTCTACACGGACGAAGTCGCTGACTCAGCTAGTACGAGATATTATCACTAAGTATCCTCTGATTTTTAAGATCAAAACAAAATCGTCCAAGTACAGGCTTAGCCTTCAATTAGGTATTAATGGAAACCTTTGAAGTTATGACAAATACTTCATACGACTATAATCCTAGTAGCCTGACAGATATTCCACATTGAATAAAGGCATACATATATTCTATAGTTTGTAGTTTACGGGAGTAGTCACATTTAACGGTTTGAAACGTGAAATAATAATAGCTTACTTCTTTTGAATGTAAGTACGGTCCGATGTTTCGGATGCCTTGCAGCAGCTGTAGTGACGAGAAGATAATAACTAGAACTAAGTAATTTATTTCGTGTTTCACACCGCTAAAAGTGTTTGATTTAATAAATATATTTAAAGTAATTTTCACTATATGGTGGCACAGATTATCAAACTTTAGAGTCTTAAGCAACGGGAACTATTCAGTTTTTCCAGAATTCGAACTTAGGACTCAAATAACAATTTAGCAGTGTAGTTTATAGGAACTATTCTGTTTCAATAATCGGTGCGGTTGCGCTAAATTTAACATCTCAATTTAAAACCATGTCTTCTGAGTATTTCATTTTCCTTCTACATTATCTCACGTATTCCGCAAACAATCTTTAAATTCAAAAACGTGCTTACGTTCGCGCCGTCTATAAATGTGCTTTTGTATACATCTAACGACTGGTGGTCTTTGTAAATGGTTAACAATGGTTTAATTTCATGAGTGGATGCGGAGGTATATGTAATTTGTCTGATATCAAAATCTCTTCTGCTATTGAAACTATTGTAATCTAACATTACTCATGTTTGAAAACTTTATTATTTTTTACGTGTTATTGCACATGAAGGGACGATATAATTTAAAAATCGAAATTAAATTTAAATAAATCTGACTCGGGCAGGACTTGAAGCGGCATCGTCAGTCTACATGGTAGGACTCGGTAGCTCAATTGGTAGAGCAACAGTACGAAACGCTGACGATGCCGGTTCAAGGCCTGCCCGAGTCGAAACTTTTTCAATTTATTTTCGATTTTTAAATTAAAACAAATATTAAAATAAACGGTTTAAAACATGAACTTCTTTGCAAATCATTTAATACGTCGGGCAATAGTTAAAATAGATCATTAATAAATTCGAGTAATATATTTCGCGTTTTAAACCGTTAAACGTGTTTTATTGAAGTGTCTGATTACTTAATTGTTTAATTTAAGTGAGCAGCAATTTTATACTTATCAACCTAACTGATACATTGTAATATTTTTAATCACGGTCTCATATTCTATAGCAGAGCTTTTAACTTAGACCCACCCTCCGCTCCAGAGGGGGTTGGTGGGCTAGTAAACTACGCTGTCCTATAGTTTGTGAGTTTGACGTTTACTTGCATTCTACTAGATCAACGCGGCGTTAAACAGAATGTCACGTAAAAGAAAAAAAAGCAACTAGCCTAACTAGATATGGTTACTGATCGTATAACCACATTCTAATCTTATTCTCAATAATGGAAATTCTAAGTGTTCCAGTTTTCCGATATAATTTAGTGCTATCTTACAAGTTGCCATTACGTGAAGATTCTATCGGTACAGTTACGGCTCATTGGAGATGGACACAGCTGATGATGGAGTTTATTAAAGACTAGTTTACGCCCGCGACTTCGTCCGGCAAAAGTTGTGGCGGCTGGGAGTTTTTTTCATGTTTAAAAAAAGCTTTTTGACTATCGTGATAATTTTTGCGTTGTTCGGTTGTCGTGATTTTTTATGATATAGGATAATAGATAAGTACGGGGTTCTTAAGACTGAATGTATTTCATCTGTGGACGCTCGCGAACGTTCATAATTCAAAATTTTCCTACCACCCATGTTATTTCTAGATATCCACATGAAGACCAACATGTTCTAGAACAATTATAAACTAAAAACATCTTGGACACGGTGGTGATCGAATTCACGACAGTTTGATTATAAGCCAAACATTGGTACCATTAGAGTTTAGATCATCGAGCCCTGCTAGTTGGCCTTCACCCAACTAGATAAAGACTTTTTATATATAACAGAACGATTATTCTGTCATATCCATATTTGTGCATTGTGATTAAAAGATACAGATAGAAATTTTCTATAGCTTTATAGTATAGGAAGGTTGAGATCTAGTAAGCTAAAATGACTACTTATATCTATTTATATTTACAGTAAAAACCTATTATATATATATATATTGATTTCTTAATTAATTACATCTTCATAAAAATTTGTTATTTTAAATGTGTCTATTACTAGTTGACTTTTACAAATTTGTTTTCTAAAAAGTAAAGTAAAAGTAGAAAGAGAGATTAGAGTTGTGCATATGCAATGAAACAGCTCATTTTATGCAGCATAGCGTACACTACTTTTTCCATGGCGCGAGAGGTGCATGTATCAAAAAATTTACGACTCGGGCAGGACTTGAACCGGCATCCACAGCCTTCCGTGGTGTTGGTTCAACTCCTGCCTGTGTCGTAATTATTGTCAACCTAAAATCGATTTTTAATTTACCATAATTTTTGCTCATTTCGCTCTACTCTGTATTATCTATAAGCTGTACAATATTCTAATGTCTGAATTCAGGGATTTTATATAATTCATGACAATGCCTGCGTACACGCATAATTCAGATGCAAAGTAGAGAAAACAGGCTTTTATTTAATGATTGTTACGTCAAACTGCTTTGTTCTTATCCTACACATATTATTACAGCTTTTATATGGCGCCATAGATAGACACGTTCAAACACCGTCCAATATAGGAGGATACGTTTGATAAATTTACAATAGTCAACGTTAGCAGCTAATTTACACACACATCTAAATAAATAACGGTTTTAAACGCTATGTTTATTTTAATTAACATATTTTCAAATAGGATTGTCATGTGACGTTTTTTAGTATGGTGCCCCTGGTCCTGCTCTAACCGATTATTTGTTTATTCGTTTTGTTAATATACACTAAAACAAAACACTATGAATGGTTTATATACGTCGGACTGTAGTTAAAATAAGTTGAATTAATACATTTCGCGTTCTAAACCGTTAAAGGTGTTTTATTTAAAGGCTACATTTTTTGCTATATTTTTTCTGTAACAGTATTGTAGTGGATGTGCAAGTAGGTATACTTAAAGTACGATAGGTATACCAAATGTACCTTATATAGACATGAAGTGTCAAACTTATCATGAAAAATAAGACAAAGTATAGTTACTGTAGTAGTGTAATAGGACTGTCTTTCACGACTATTGCGGACAGAGGAGAACGGCCAATTGGTATTTTAGACGATCTTGTTAGAACTTTCACCGTTTACATTTCTCTGTCACTATTTGTCTTTGCCCTTTACAGAGGCACCAACCATATATTCCTATACTTGTGTATTTTAATTGTGCTTTAAACCTATGTTCACAGATATGACTTACTTACTTAGAGTACTTATTTAGAACAAAAAACGAGCTTAACATTCTAGACGATTAGTTTGTATCAAGAAACCGAATCGTATTGTGCAACGCGATGTCGTTACAAAAACATAAATTTGCTAATATTAATTGATAGCATACATCTGCCTAAACACAATACAGACTTGTATTACTTTTAGGGTTCCGTACGCAAAAGTAAGACCTCCACACTAAATCTATTCTATTTTTCCGAATCGATGTAGCCAAATTACTGCTAGGTGCATGTATAAATACTGTCTGTAGTTAACGCGGGTAGTACACATTAAAAAAAAACACTTAACGGTTTAAAACCTGAAATTTATAGTTAAACTCATTTACAAATTATATTTGCTATGGCCCGACATTTCAGACGCTTCGCAGCAGCCGCAGTTACAGAGACATTAATGATTAAGGTTCTGCAAAATACGACGGAACAGATGACACTAGCGTAGCTTTTTTTACTTTGACATTAGGTACACACTCTATTTTTAGTCTCCCTATGACCACGACTGCCGTCATAGGGAAACGAAAAACCTCGGGCCGTAATTAAAAATAATTTAACAAGTTTAATTAACATATTTCATGGTTTAAACCGTTAAAACTATTTTATTGTAGTGCATGTTTTTAAATATATTTTAGATAGACTTTGTTACAGTTGAATCCCATTATGTTTAAATCCGCCTCGCGCTTGGCTTTACTGAGTTCCAATGGTATATTCCATTATGTACTCCGCCCATTATGGAGGCTATTTCGCAGTCCCAACACCAGATAGCAATCAGCGAGATTATGCGCTTGCGCCGCCGCGGGTCGAATGCGTGATATCTTTAGATTTACAGTTTTGTAGGGAATTGTCCAGTTTATATACGCTGTCATTACATTTTTCTCTCTTTGCTTTTAGTTGCACGCCCGAGGCTGAATTAAAATAGGCGCGTCGTGGTTCCTATAAAACGTCATCTCGCTTAGTAAGAAACGAAAGAGGTCCTAGATTCGACCATGGTTGATATATTCATTATTGGATTGAGCAGAATTTCGCACAATTGAACGAACTAGGTCAAATTAAAGGACGTTCTTTGGAACTAAAAATGTATACTAGAAATACGACAACCGAGCGGGACTTGAACCGGCGTCCATAGCGTTACGTGCTGCTGCTGTAACCAATTGAGCTACCGTGTCCTACAGTTTAATTATATTTGTAATTTACATAATGTCATCATGTGCAATAACATGTGAAAATATAAAAAAAATTAAACGTCCTTGAAATTAAAAGGTTACATTCGGAATTTGAATTTCGACTGAAACTACGAGTAAAAGGTTTTCCAGTGATTCAAACCCAGGACCGCTCCACCTTTTTAATATTTATTTGTTAGTACATAAAGAACTTACAGCAAAAGCCAAACATGCAGTGTGTTAAATTATCTATGAATCATAATTAAATACTAACATCTTGTTTTAAATGACCCTAAATTTACAACAACTAATAATTTGCACTGCTTTCCGCTAAGAAATTATTCTTGCTATGCTAAGCCACGCTTCTGCCACTAAGCCACGGTGGCGGTCATCTTAATAGAAATGATAAAATAACTTTTCCATTAAACACGTGGCATAATATTAATGTAATTTAGAATTTCACTATTTTGCATAACTGTTGGCAAATGTACATTTTAGTTATGTTAATGCCAACTTATTATGTAGATATGCACACGTCATTTACTGATAAGTATCCAATTACAAAATACAAAGTTTGTGTGAAAATAAAAATGACAATCGAACCTACGACAACATCGTACGGTGCTTTACTTTACCGAATTAACTACCATTTAGTACACACAACAGCACGGTATGCTTTGGTTATGGATCAAGACCCGCTTGCGTTTTTAATTTGATGGTTAAAAAATACGTAAATTATATTCTGAAAAGCGATGTATTTTTTTCTTCTAGACTTATTATTAGGTGCTAATAATACATATTTTGGATCTATATATATACTGTATTACATTATTTTAACTTCGTGTTGGATATACTTATTGTAATCAAATTAGTTTCATGAACAAAAAACGAAATCGATACAATTTAAAGAAGATCACCTTTTAATATCACGAAAATGAAGAGTGTTAATATCTAAATAAAACACTCACGGTTGAGAACGCGATATATATTAATAAAACTTATTTGAAAATAATGTTAACTACGGCCCGACGTTTCGGATGCTTTGCAGGAACCGTGATCACGGGGGGAATAAAGATGGTGGGTGTCTCTGACGCCAATGTAAAAAAACTGCTAACTGCTGCTCGAAGTTGGTATTTGGCATATTATATATATTGCATTTAAAGTCGAAACGTCAGGCCGAAATTAAAAATCATTTTTCAAATAAGTTTAACTAATATATCGCGTTTTAAACCGTTAAGGTGTTTTATTTAGACCCTGTATATAATAAAATTATACTTATATAAGATGTAAAAAGTAAGCATAAGCAAGCTTATGGCACCTTATCAGGAAAAAACATAGTCATGGTTCATTAGATTTTTTATTATGATATCACGAAATAAGTGGTGCGTGCCCAGCAAGTTTTATTTGCATCGCGAACATGACAGACGGGAATATTGTAATCATACCAAATCATTCGCTAACAATACACGAGTCAGAAAAATATCGCGTGCAAATGGACAGTCATTGTTTCTATTAGCTTACTTGTCTACGATGTATGACGGAGTGAATTCTCTTATCCACTCGCAAAACTAAGAAAATATTCCAAGTAAGGTATAAATAACAGATAAACTCTACTGCAATTGGCTCGGTCTAATTGTCGCAATATATTACTAATAACCGGGGTCGCGGATGTGATTACCACTAAGTCATGTTTCTTAGATTTATAATCCTCTTCTCTTTTGTATTAGAAGCTCCTGAAACCTGGATATTGAAGATAAAAGAAAAAACCTATATATATATATCTATATATATATATATCTATATATATATATATATATATATATATAATATTATATATAAAATAGTTTGATACGGCATCTTAATTTAATGTTATAACATAAAAGTTTATCTTCCATCGAGTGTTTATCCGTCTTTCTTTGTCAAAAAGAAATAATTTTTAGAATTTAATTCCGACTTCTTTCGAGGCTTTGGCGCCATTCATTATTAAGGGATTTTAACAAAAAAATAATCTTGACTTTTCAAACCTCAATAAAAAGAAATAATACTTGATTTTAATGGAAGAAACAACATCATTCATTATTTTTATTCTACAATGTGAAGGTTATAGATCTTTCTAATAGCAAAAATCCCACGATGTGAAGCCTGTCGGAGTCTAGACGCAGTAATTCGATCATTGTGGTGTCATATCACCGCATACATGCCGATTTATCTATTACTTCATGTGTTATGTGAAAACGTCATAACTACAATTGCTGTTTAGTTTTCATACATATTTTTCATCACTGAAATAGATCCAATAAAATTCTTGAAAGGGTATTTTAGAAAGGTTTAAAAAATGGATTACGCCAGGCCTAAAATCAATAGATATTGTCACAGCTATAAGTTACGGATACTTACACAATATAAAGCAAAATACGTAGGTATCAACCCACGCACAGTGCCGAAAAAAATAATTTGTGGAGAGCGAACAAGTAAGTCACAAAGTTTTGCATTTGAGAGATCTTCGTTGCCAAACGGTTATTCTACAAATTGAGCTATCGTGTCGCCGTGTAGGTCTTATTCTCAAAATTGTATCTTCTCCATTTTCTTGGTAATCTCAATGAAACTTCAACATATTTATTCAGAATTGTGCACTTAAATGATTTCACACATACGTTGTAAATAAAATCAATACTTTCAATAAGTGGTCCACCTAAGGCCTGGAACCAGCTCGGGGGTCATGGATCCGCCGTTGGTTGGGTTAATTAATTCGTTATCTCGTTTTATTGTACCAAGATAATTCTGTTATAAGGATGCATCGTTATCATAAAGTTCGATATGTAGAACGCTTTTAACTAGTGCCCTGGACTAAGTCATCTGCTTCTTATACATCGTCATTAAGAGCATTGTAATAAATGGGTGTCAGTTTTTCTGTAACAAACTCGTTTATAAGTGGAACACGTTTCCATTATTATTGCTTTTCTCTAAGAAATATCGACTGGCGATGATATACCTACTTTCTATAGGCAATTTTCTTCCGCTGTAACTATCAATGACTAGCTGATTCGGCGACTTCGTCCGCGTAGAATTTTTATTTTGGGCAAATTGTTTTCGCAAACCTACGTCATTAGGCACGTCCCGTCGCTCGCTTTTTCAATTTGAACCGATAGTTCCCGAGATTAGCGCGTTCAAATAAACCAAGAAACTCTTTAGCTTTATATATTAGTATAGATATGATACTGTAATAAAAATGTTCTGTTTTTGAAATTGTTTCGATCCAACGTGGCCCAACTGCAATTTTATGGCTAGAGTTATCTATATTTTCACAGTCTAAAAATAAAAATGTTAACCTACAAGACAGTTTTACACAAATAATAGTTAAATTCATTTTCGCCTAAGTGCGCATTTTATTTTACTCCTTATTGCAAACCATGTTTTTTGTTAATAGGCCACTTAGCCTCAATTCTGACAACTTTTCTACTGTTAAATAAATTTGACCTCTATTATTTACTTTGGAATCACCAAGATCACGACGCGACGAAGGAAAGACATAAATTTATATCAAATATCTTTTCAGGGCTTGGAGATAGTGAATCCTCAGGCGGCGGAGACGAAAGGTAACGAGGGAAACGCAAAATACTTTTCCAATACTTCGGGTTTTCTTTCAGTCGGCAAAAAGACCACGTAGTTTTAATGAAGTTAGTGAAGTCGAATGAAGATTTAATTTTGTAAGTTATTAATGTCTACGTAATAAATATAAATTTTTAATTGTTGTTTCTTTTATTTACATGCATATGTTCAAAATGTTATAACGTACCTCCTTGATGCTTTATAGGTCAATAGTAAAAGTCTTGCATAATATATATTAGTAAATATAACCCAAATGTTTATAGTACCTACATATGCCCGTATAAGTCTTTGCAATTATGTTGGACTTTTACTCAATATAATATAGTTGAGTTACTTACTAAATAAAAGTATTTTTTGTTTTCATTAGCAATAAATATCTGTCTATATTATGAAGCTCAAGTAGGTTTTTTTACCGTATTTGTCATTATTTAAAGTATTAAAATTTAAAGCCTATCCCCCCCAACCCCGTGCTTGTACATGGCATATATATATGGCAAAGACATCGCTCTATGCGTTTCACTAATTGGCTTTAGTTTCAGTTACTGGCCAAAACAATCGATTGTTAATCTGGTATTCGAACCCCGGACCTCTCGCGCTTAACACAATGCTAAGCACGTTTAACGATTTAAAGTAATAAAGTACATATTCTAATTTCTTGGTATTAAAAATGTAATAGTAAGTATTGTTGTTGTGTAAACCGAGAAGACACAGTGGCCGTGCAGTTACCGCACTATTACAAAATCAGTGATACACCGTCTTAGGGAACACAATACTGCATAATTTAGTTCAATGTTCGCCACGTCTAGACGATTTGGATATTTATAGCCTGAAAGATATTGTTACTTGTAATATAATGCATTTTTGTTACTTATTTGTTTTTTCACGTATGCCAAACTTACAGTTAGTACAATAAGATAGTCGATAAATTAGATATCAGAAAGTTTTTTTTTTTTCAAAAAACTGTGAAATATTATTATATAAAAATGTTAACAAAGTGTAGATACAATTTTCGTAAAGCAAAGAACTTTTTGTTACTTTATCGTTAATATAGGAAGTGTATTAATTTACAAAAATAAACACTTTACCGGTAAACGTTGAAGTAGGTAATTTTAAGACTCGCTTTTTTAACGTCCTGATTAATAAATTTATTTTAATTTAAATAACCATTTTAGGCTACAGGTGGACAATTGGAAAAATAATCTACTTTATGAATTGTAAATAGTCGTTTCAAAAGGGGAGGCGTCATAACAGTAGGTCCTGGCTAGTAGGGACGGGAATCTAAAGAGTATCTATAGATATAACACATTTTGAAAATTTGGTGCTCTAGCATGATCGCCTCACGAACGAAGAGCTCGTATAAAAAACATGACCTAGCATCGAACTAACGAACCTTTGCCATGCTCATGCCAGCTATGATAAGCTTGGTTTGTTTTTTTTACGCGAGAGTGATACATTTAAATTAAAACACTATCGGTTTAAAACGCGATATATATTAGTAATCTTTTTTTTTATACCATTTTTTTCTGAAATGTGTTGCACTTCGTCTGGAAATCTGGATAAGAAATGTGATCCACCGTCCACAGATGAAAAAGCCGTAAAGTTTAATCACGTTACGAATATCCAAAGCCAAAATAGGTCGATCGCGCATCTTGTTTAGATGCTTAGGCTGAGGAATTTCACCTACCATCAACTAAATCCCATGCTTGATCTCCTGTATCATTAAAAAAAAATTAACTATGACCGACGTCATATCGGATACTATGCGGAAGCCGTGGCTCGCCGTAACCACGGCTTCTGCCAAACCATAAACAAAAGTACATAAAATCTTTCGCGTTTTAAACGGTTAGAATTGTTTTACATTAATGATAAGCTAAGAATCTTCGCGTAAAGCTAAATGCGGTTGCAATAATTCCACGCGGCGAGTGTGTTGCCACAGTTCAAGGGCGACGTGCTACGTTAACCGCTGTTAAATTGTAATTTGATGCGTATTCTTTCACTTTCTTCTTCTTCCACCGCTCATTACGTCACTAACAACCCAATTAATTCCTATAAGAATATGAAAGACAATAAAACGTGTAAAGTGCTTTTATACTTACTAATTTATGAATAATTTGTAACACTTACCGCTTTCTCGGTTTGGCTGTGATCGAGCTAGCGGTCGTAACGAGTGCGATATAAAATACAATTTACTTAGCACATCCTAAAGAATTTGTAAAGTTCTACCTACCGCTATTCGACTTGCCGAAGATAAAAAATGGAGGTAGCTGGTTGACAAGGCAGTACGATCTCAAGATAAGCAAAGCACGACCTTCAGCAATGGAGAACAAGATTAAGAAGATGAAGTCTAATTACTCTTATCGTCCGTAGTTTACGCGAGTAGTAAATAAAACACTTTAACGGTTTAAACTCGATATATTAGTAATATAAATAAATAATTTCTTTTAACTACGACCTGGCGTTTCGTGTCTGCTGCCAGAGTATTGGAAACGCATATTTCGCTTTTGAACCGTTAAATGGGTTTTGTTTAATATGTACTACTCGCGTAAGTTCCAATGCATAATAAAATCTTTTAGTTGAACAGAGAACTTGCCCGTAAAATTAAAAAATTATTAAATCTATCAGTAAAACGTTTTTCTTACTTCACTATTATAAGAAAAGATTCGGACTTTATTATTCACTTTACACGTAACTATTCCATGATTATATTATATGTTTTATTATGTTCGTGTCTATAATATTTTATGTTGGGCTACATATATTCTATTATGTTATAGTAGTTTCGTAACTCAAAAAGAGATAGAATAATTCGGTGTTACGTTCAGAGACGGACCTACTTAAAAAAATACTACTACCTACTAAATATACATTATTAAAGGTTAAATGTAAGCGCCACCGTGACATACTGTATCAGATTCCGATCTCTATATGTTAACGATGGAAGAAATCAGAGATCCGATTCTGGTAATTTATATGGACACACTGTCACTATAATGATCGCGGTACTAAGTAGGTACGTGGGGCGAAACAATTATGTTGGAAAAAAAAAATCGTAAATTAAACTTTGATTGAAAAAAATACTTTTTTTACTCTGTGGTTTTAATCTAAAATTAATTAAAATATATTAAAGTTTTCAAAAGCGCAAATCATTTTAGTGAATCTTTCGTACGGCGCATGATAGCACAAGTGCAGCACAGTGCAGCATAACCGTTCTATATTTTTGCATATTAGCAAAGTAAGTAGTAGAAACCTATTGTAAGTTTTCTAAAAAAGCAGTATTAAGTAAGATCATACACAATTACCCTCTAAACCCCTTTATATGTTAGTTACTAGTCTAAGAACCAGACTAGCGAATGGCTAGTGTAAATATCAGAATCAGGCTTCTGTTCTACAAGTTGTTGTCACACTTTATATTCCTCGTCCGGAAAAGCAACTGCAAGTTACCATTAGAGGGGTGTTGCAGGCTTATAGCTTAGCATAAGCTGTTTTCCGCATTCTTAAGAGTAAAAAGTACTTAAGATTGCATATAATTATACTTTTATATAAATATATAAGAGTGAAAGTTGTCTATTTCGAAGATCTTGTAGCGTAAGTCTTTCTTTAACAAATATCCATAGAAAAAAGTACCTGTGTTTTAAATAATGTTGAACACAACGCCTTTTATATATTCTTTACTGGAATAATCTAACAAAAATATAATAATTATCATGAATATATGCGAATAATTAATCGATTATTTTGTAACCACTTGTCGTAACACATCGCGGTCGTATTACGTGATGCGCTGATGGGACCGAAGTAAGCGTTAACGGTTCATTGAAAGAGTTAAATCAAATAGTTCGTACCCGGAGAACAGGTTTCGAGCGACACATCCCAAGTGTCGGGTCCGTGCGGTTTGCGCCGCGCAGTGCTCCACCGGCCGCCCATGTGTCTGCGCGTGCGCATATCAAATTTGCTCACCGCGAACTCACCTGCCGCGACTAGTGTAACGCCGATCACTGTGTACATTTCGTAAGGACATTTGATGTTAGTGCTTATTGAAGTGTTGGTGTAGCATGTTAATAGTGGACTAAAGTTTAAGCCGAGTCATGGCTAGCTTCGAGAATCTCGCCTTCGACTGGTCGACGCTGTGTCAAGATTGTCCTGAATGCTGGACAGCTTCAGGTTAGTGACCCAACGTTAGTTCCACACGAATTCCTGTCACAAACGCGGCCTTGTTGACTTTGAATCATCGTTAATTTGAAATTTGCGATTAGCGAGGACCTAAACCGATTCTTCTTTCACAACGATACATCAAGTAATTATTAGAGCGCAGTTTAATCCGACATATCCATCGTTTCAACATGAAAGTTAATGGCGGTTGTATTGCATTTACAAGATTTTGATTTCGCACTTTACGGTTTGAAAATGTGAAATCTTTTTTTGGCGCCTACCCTCAATTAGACTTATTAATTATCCAAGTAAGGTTTGTGTACTATATTAATATTCTTTTTTATTCATATTACTTTAATACATATTTTATTGGAACAATAATATTTATGTAATAAATTTATTTCATTTTAATAAATGTAATCTTGTCCCTGTATCCGTATATACAAAATCATGTCAACTAATAATAAATTATAGTATTTCATGGCTGACAACAATCTACTATGGTTTCGCTCACAGCTCTGAATGGAATTCACTTTTTATTTAGATCGAACAATTAAACTGAGAATCATCTTATTGTAACTAATCGTACTTTTGAGGTCAGGGTTAACAATTGTTCTCAGATAAAATGGTAGGGTACCTACGGGATTACCTACCAACAGAATGTGTTAGAAAAGGTACAAAAATTATGTCGTAGTGGTCAGTATTAAGAATTAATTGCTTGTAAATGTTTCCATTTATATTCGCTATCTCAATCTTAAGATGACACGTCCGTTGTCTGGCTTTCTTCGAAAAGAAATTATACGATAATGGAATATTATTAGTTACGTCACACTAGAAGTATGCATTTACCACAATTGTCATTGCGTGTGTAATATTTGTTTTTTCGTTTATCGCGTTCTGTCGGGCTGTTTTTAAAAAGGTTTATTTTTCATAGCAATTTACGTGGTACGTGTAAATTTCCATTTAATTTATTGAAGTTTAAAAAGTTATAATGCGCGATCAAACAATAAAAAGCGACGCGTAACATCAAATAGGAATCGACTTGAAAACCTACTTTTTTGTGGTCGGTTAAATTATTTTGGTAAAAATATTTCAAAAAATCATCAAAAAATATAATTTATTGATACATAGTATTCTTCTACGATAAAGTACATTTTCCAAACTTACATAATACTGACAAAAGAAAGACTAGAAATTATTCCCTTTCTTTTTCAAATTTTACAATTCATCCAATCGAGTAATTATAATAATAACGATGTAAGTGACATTCAATTTAAATCATTAGATATCTCACACCTTTTCATTCGTATTCTGTTATAGCTTCAAATAACATAATGCCTTTATTTATTAAGTTATTAATACAGACACATTTTATAATTTAATTATTAAAAAAAACCCCGGACTCGTTGATCGGTAAACGTCGTGTTACAATTCCATGGCTGAACAATTTGCAATCCTAATGAACACATTGACGACCAAATGAAACTGAATTAATTCAGTTTTCAAGTTGAGCATAATTATAAATAATAAATATGATAATTACGTCTGTATATTGTATACCTGAGTGAAATGTATTCAACTTAATAAACTTTCTTTCTATACGATATATCTTATTTATATAATTAATTTGTATTTTTTTTATCTTGCGACATATGGGTATGTAGTAATTATTAAATATAAGTTGAGAGTACTAATACTCAAACATACATGCTAATGCCATAACATTAGCGATCATGTTTTAATTGTTTAACAAAATAAATGTTATAATACAACAATGTTATACAAAGTACTAGAGATCTATAGCTTGGATATTAAAGGTTTGGGGTACTAAGGATAAATAAGTCTTACACTATGGGTAAAAATAAAAAATCTTCTTTGAAATGCAAAAAAAACAAGTCTCGCCTGAACTGATGTTAAACTATGGGAATTGTAATTAGAAGACTGGCGCTGTCACGCGTTACGTAACGTATAAATTTAACGTAAATTACACGTTTCATACTTACTCCATATACTCATCCCAGTTTAAAACATTGTTGTGAAGACTTACGAGTGTGTTGTTAGTAGTAGTTGTAGTGTGTACTTGTTACTTGCAACAAGTAATCCACGACAATTAATTACAACATTCCACATCTTATCTGCGTAACATGAACCGCTATTACAAAACTCGCTAGACGTGGGTGCAGCGATAGTTTCCCGTAGTTATTTGAAGAGTTGATGGTATAAAATGTTCAATTTACATTCTTATACAGTCTCCGAGAAAATCGCATGTACCTATAGAATATAAACATAAATAATAGACCAAAATAATGCGTAAAGTTTATATTAATTATATGTCTATTAGTTATAAGTATTAGGTATGTTAATATACAGAAACACCTAGATAATAATTTGATATCAACACAATATAGAGGTGAATCCTAAAAAATGTTTTACAGATAATTAAAATATTATTAAAAAATAAATAAAACGATATTATAAATATACTTGGAATTACAACAAACACTATAAAAGTTGCTATGTTTAATGAAAATTACTTATTAAATCTATATTGTTATTAAAAAGCTGAAGAGTTTGTTTGTTTGATCGCGCTTATCTCAGGAACTACTGGCTCGAATTTAACAATTGTTTTTGTGTAGGTTAGACCATTTTTCATAGGAATCGAACTTTGAACATTATTTCATATCGTATCGATAAAAGAACATTTGCCTGGTCAGCTAGTTTTTAAGTAAAACTGACCCGACTTTTGCGAAGCTTTTAGCAGCTAGGGGACGGTTAGATTAAATAATACTACTAAATTCTCGTCATAAACCTTCAGAAGTTTTTTTCTCTATTTTGTGATGAGAAAAGTTTTATTTCGTGGTTTATTCTGATTGCTAATTATTTGAAATGCTTTTGGTGTACCTGTTACAGTGGACAGTTACCAGGAACCAGGCTAATGACAATTGCTGGTATACCTATCTATTCTCAGTCATCGTTTTGTTTGAAAGTTCCTCGTGTGGAATGACAATTAGGTGTAGCAAAGCAAACAACCGTTAAAGTATCCGAATTCCTGACCTGCCGTTGCGCATTCAGAGGTCCGGTTAAAGAAATGAAAAAAAAATAAACGTTTAAATAAAACACTTTAACGGTTTAAAACGCGATATATTAGTTAAACTAATTTTAAAATGATTTTTAACTTTTTCAAATAAGTTTAACTAATATATCGCGTTTTAAACTGTTAAAGTGTTTTATTTAAATGTGTACTACTCGCGTAAAATATAGACAGTAGAAATTTAACGGTTTAAGACGCAATAGATTTTTTATTATGATAGAGGAAGATAGACAAGATGCGCTGTCAACCTTTTGGCTTTGGATATTCGGAAATCCACAGACTGAAACCGAAACGCGATTAAACTTGACGGCTTCTTATCTGTGGACGGTGGTTCGTGACGCGAAATTAGATATTCCTACATCATTTCATATCCAGATTTCCAGACGAAGTCAAACATGCTTCAGAACAAATATATATTGATTAGGAAACTGCCCCGTCTTCATAACTGTCGGAAGGAAATGGAATAGGAAAAGAAGGAAAATGTAAAATTTGAACATTTTCCTCATAGCACAACTTTCACAATTTCTCTGAGATTCATGTCTGTCTCTGAACTTAACTATGATTTACAAGGCTATTCTCCACGGTCCACTCCATTGCTTTTTGTTTTCTAAAATAGATTTTGAGTCGTCAACATAGAGATATGCTATAATTTGTTATTAAAACAAACGGGGTAAAAGTCCTCATTCTTATCTAAAATCAATCAGATAATTTAAAAAAAGTTATTAAATGCGCATTGTCGTTTACAGATTAAAAACACCTTTATCGGTTAACAACGTGATGTATATTAGATACTTGCAAGTTAATGTTATAAGATAGACATATAGAGCCGCGGGTACATTTTCAGTATCTTACCGTTTTCGCAGCGTACGCGTCGAAAATCCCCAAAGAGGAATCATTCGTTTCATATTACTTTTTTAGGTATCCTCGTAAATGCTGTACTTTCGCAGAGAAGAACTTTTCAATTCAAACCAGTAGTTTCGGAGATTAACGCGTTCAAACAAACAAACTCTTCAGCTTTATAAATATTAGTACAAATTAGTTAAGCTGAACAAGTTTCAAATGAACAACAGAAGTGAAGGATATGTGGGCCCACATACTAGTTAACAATGATTACCTAAATATTTCACATTTTAAACCTGTTAACGTGTTTTATTTAAATTGGTATCTTGTAACTTTATTATGACATACCACTTCATTCACAAATATTTGTATAGTATTGCGAGCAATTGACAGCTAAAATTACGTGTTGTAATGCGCAAGCGCAAGCGTTTTGCGAAAATATTTCGCACTGCACATTTGCAATTAACATTTATTTTGTTAAATTATTATGTATATATTTGATGAAGCAGGTATGGCATATAGTTGAATAATACAACAGGAGTTATTTTAAGAAATATAATAATTAATCATTTTTTCAACAAAGGTTTATTTAAGCAACCAAATTAAATTAGATTACACCGCCTTTGTATGGGTAAACGTGTTGCCCCTCATTGCGTCCTGGGTTCGAATCCCAGTAAAACAATAGTTTCGGTCGAGCAATTGCACAGAAGTCTGTTCAACTACTTGCCTTTAGAAGATCCGATCACTGAAAGAGACACAGTAATGTGTTCGTGGCATGCCCCACGGGGGGGAACGGGAATGTAATAATTAATATATATATATATACTTATTTACGTTTTCTGAATTAAGTTAAAATAATGCCTGTTCCTCTATAGAAGTAGTAAATTTAATATGGTCTGTATTTTACGAGAGCGATACAGATTAA